GCCAGCTTTGGCAAGCATTAATGTAAGCCTAGGAACTGTAGCCATGAGATTGGAATCCCCAGAAGAGCTGCCAGCCAAAGTCATGCTGGGATCAAGAAAAATGTGCCTTGGCAGTTTGTGTTCCTGGAGTTGTATCCATGCCAGTGGATGTCCACACAATCCAGAAGAGAATTTGACATTGCTGCTGCCGCTATTGCTGGTATAACAATGGTGCACACCACTGCTACTGTTCCTGGAATTACCATTTCATAATTGCTTACTACAGCTAGCACAGTGGAGACCCTGGCAACAAAAGTAGCTACCACAGTTAGTTAATCTTTCATTCTATTGGGCATGGTAAATTTAATTCAGTAGTTATATACATTTCGATTGGCTTTGAAAATTATAAACTTATAAAATTATAAACTCAAGTTCCAGTTGCTTTTAGGATACTATCTTCTTACAAGGACTCCAACGTACAGTATGGCTCATTAAGGAAGGGAATGGCTCAGTTGCCTTTAGCCTACTGTCTATGGGTGAGATAGGACCTCTGTTGGTCTTTTCTGTATCAAACACACAGATTGCAAGCCCAGTGCCACTTTGAGATCTTTGGCAGCAATTAACCATGCAGCTCACACACAATTGAGCCAGAATGATAATGAGTATTCAGAGACAGGTAATGCCTGGGGGGCACTCACCAACCTAAGACAGAGCACCTGTGTGGCCTGGGCAGGCATCTCCATGACGGGTAAGGTGATCTGCTGACATCCCTCTCAACACAAGTCAGAAGCTCATGTTTTAATAAAAGGGGGACCTGCAGGGCCCTGGCCCCCATTTTGGGTAACTGTTGCCTTGCTTGCAGACCTTGACCTTGTCATCCTCCCAATGCTAATTCTCTGCCAGGTTCCACCCTCCTGAATGCTTAAGGGAAGTTCTTTGTCTGTGTATCCTGAATAATGGGCGTTAACAGCTTAGATGCAAGATTGTAAAGCATCAGTAGCGAACTTCTGCTCTCCGAGGTCCTCCCATTGTGCTGTAAGCCTGTATTTAAGACCTCCTACCCCCTTCAAGAAATGACATTCAATATTTAAAATTTTATATATATATATATATATATATATGTATGTATGTATATATGTGTACATATATATGTATATATATATAATTGAATGAATACTGTGAATGTAATCTATGAATACCACAATGTGATTAATATCATGAGTGTAATTTAATAAATAAATAAATAAATAAATAGGAATACAAAAAAGATCTTTGTTCTAGATAAGCAATTTTCAAATACATGTTTCTCAAATTGAATGTACAGTTCTTACTTACTTTCTTATGTATAATGGAAAAACAGGAGTGCACCTAAGATCTTGTCCATAACACTTACATATCTATACTGAGTCAGAGGCAATATGAACTTGTAAAACAGAATTTGCTTGTTGTATAAGAAATATGGATGATATAAACTTTCATTGTGGATTGGAGGAATTAGCCACTTTTTCACCCAACTACATAATCTAAATGCTCTGATATGCATTTTGCATAACTTTGTCAGTATGTCAATATTGTACAGAGTGAAGATGTGCTTACAAAATAGGATCTACTTCTTCTGTATGAACCATGCCTCATAGACTATTCTTTAATTAGTAATTACTAAATGAAAGTGTCTTCCAACTTTAAAAAAATATTTATTTTATATACCAATTTCAGGTCCTCTCTCATCACTCCTCCCACTCCCCCTGCCTTCTGTTCCCCCACATTTCCTAATAGACTACACTTTGATCATCAATTACTAGATGAAAGTGCCTTCTAACATTTTATGTACCCCATTTCAAAAAATTTCTAACATATTTCTTGTCCATAATGCCATGAGATTTTAAAATAAGATAGTGTGTGCTTTTCACTACAATCTCTTCATTATAGTGTAAAATGATCATCTTACAAACTTCAGTCTTGGAAAAGAACAGTGTTTCTTTTTTCACCCATCAGGTAACTGCATGTGACCAATGTAACTACTTACTCACAGAATGAATATCTCCCGAGATCATGCTTCTTGTTCATTTCTCATATTCCCTACAATTATAATAGAGAATCTTGTGACTTAAAGGAGAATGTCTTCTTCCATGACAAAACTGTTAACAAACAAAATGAAATGAAAAATTGTGGAAACAGTTTCTTCCATGTCTTAGGGGACTGATGCACAAATTAATTCCAAAGGACTGTATCATAACACATAAAACTTGCACAGGTTCAAGTTCAACAATGGAGTTCCAGCATTGGGGGTGGGGTTGGGAAAATGGACATAGGCTTCCATCCTTTACAAAGAAGCAATCTGTAATTTATACCAGCCAGAAATGGAAAATCCATTGTCTCTAATATAGTGTAAGTGGGAATACCAAATTTCAAAGTCCAAGTGTAGTTAGCCAATACAAAATAAATTCCAGAGTATATTTGTTGTTGTTATTTTTTTTTTGCTTTTGTTTTATATGTGTTGGGATGGGGGTTGTGATTTGTTATTTTTGTCTTATTTTTTGCTTGTTTAGATATTTGTCTTGTGGTATTTTTTAAAGACTTAAAGAGAAAGGAAAACATAGATTTTGGTGCATAAGGTAGAGAGAAGGATCTGGGATGAGTTGAGGAAAAAGCGTGATAAAACATCTTGTATGAATTTTTGAAACCAATACTACTGTAAATGTTAATAAGATAATATGATTCTAAAGAATCAATATTTTTAAAGATTGAAAAATAATTTTAAAAAGAACAATAGACAGTTAATGAGTACTGAAAGAGGAAAATTAGTCTATTCCAGAGATAAGTCCCCTAATTGATCATGCAACACAAAGTAATCACAACCTCTACAGAGCCAGACTTTCCACTTCCTTCTCCATGCTCTAGTCAGTGTGTTTCCAATGTCCTTCCCTTTCATACCTTCTCCTCACCCATGCCTTCTCAGTCATGTTCACTGCTGCCCTTTCCACAATAGCTAGGAAATGGAAATGACCATAATGTATATCAAATGATGAAGGCATAATGAAAAGGTTATTCACCTACACAAAAGCATTAGGAAATGATCTCAGCCAGTTGCTTTAATGTCTTTCTCTGTGTGAGTATGTGTGCATGTATATAACATTAATAATTTAAAGAGAGGCATTCAGTTTGAGAGATAAGGGAAAGACATAGGATAATTTGGAGGATGGAAACATTGGAGGGCATCAGGAAGGTAAGAAAAGGGTGAAGTGATAGGATTTATATATTAATCAATATATTATTTGGAATTTAAAAACATACAATTCCAGAAATAGAGAGATTGTGTAGTGGTTAAATCTTTTCGTGGTCTTCATTAGAACTAAAGTTTAGTTCCTGAATGTAGTTCAAGTGGGCACAACTGCCTGTTACTTCAACTCCAGGGAAAACAACACTTTATTCTAGCCACCTCAAGGACCTTCATACACATACCATATAGAAATACACACACACACATAGGCAGATACACACATGCAGAGAGAGAGAGATAAATTTAAATATTGTAAAAATAATTATTATAGTTAAAATTTAAAAATTAGAAATGAAAGATCTATTATGTCAATGAGAACACAAACAGCTGAATACATAAGAAAAAGAACACATATTATGGATGTGAATCTCAGGCCAAAGAATTTGAAAACTACTTCAATCTCCATATAGATATCTCTATACAATAAGCATAGATATTCTGCAGAATGCATCAGCAGTAGAGAGAATCAGGCAGAAGAACATCAGGGCTGAAAATCAAGGTGGGCGTATTATTATATTTAGGTGCTAAAATATTAAAAGAAATGACCACATCTTTCAAGATCTCTAGGATGCTGTTATTCAGAGATTGTATTTGTTAATTTTGTTTCTTTGATAAAATATCATAACCAGAATCATCTTATAGAACGAAGAGTGTACTTGTGCCTCCAGATCCAGAGACATAGGAGTCTATCATGGTGTAAAGACTTAGCCACAAATGGCAAAAATAGTGTCAAGAAAAGAAAGCTTAGAGATTCCCTCTCAACCACAGGCAGAAAACAGAGAGCAAACGTAGTAGGCAGACACTATGAACATTCAAGGCCTGCCTCCAGGAACAGATGTCATCTGTCATGGCTCCATCTCTCAGATGTTTCACATCCTCCCCTATTAGCACCACCACCTGCGATCAAGTGTTCAAATATCTGAACCTGTGAAGGACATTTTGTTCAAAAATACCTCAGAAAACCAAATATCTGGAACTATAGATAGTATAGAGATATTCAGGGTATAGAAAACATGTTCTAGGAAACAATAGCAGAAATTTCTTCATATCAAGAGATATAAATAGACACAGTTGCACAGAATACATTTAGAATCACAACAGGCATAGCTGGATAAAAACTTCTCCACTTAGTATAGAAATCATGTGAAATTAAAAACATTTTTTTTTCACTTCTGTTTCTTTCATTTTTTTTTTTGGTTTTTTGAGACAGGGTTTCTCTGCGTAGCTTTGCGCCTTTCCTAGAGCTCACTTGGTAGCCCAGGCTGGCCTGGAACTCACAGTGATCCGCCTGGCTCTGCCTCCCAAGTGCTGGGATTAAAGGCGTGGGCCACCACCGCCCGGCCCCTCACTTCTGTTTCTTAAGGAGGTTCTCAATATGCAGCTCTGGCTCACTTGACCAGGGTGACCTAGAACTCATAGAAATCCATGTCTCTGCCTCCTGCCAAAGGCTGGAATTAAAGTGTGTACCACCACTCCTGAGCTCACAAAAATTGTAATTTTCCAGCTTTTCAGTACATTGAAAATTCAAAGAACACAGAACCAAAAACACCAGAGAGAAGCTTCAAGAGAGAAGTTCCATTTTCTTACAAAAACTAGTCCATCCATGACCTCTTAGTAAAATAGGAAATAAAAAAGCAAATCAATAACAACAGAACCAAGAAAAGATATCATAATGAGTAATTACACCACCCAAAGAAAATAAGCACCAAACAAGATTATTGTGGAGAATAAAGAAATAAAGAGATGGAGATCTTGCAGGATATACACAAGTTAAAGCCCAGGAGACCGCCACACTGACTTTGCACATGCGCAGTGAGCACTATTTGCTTCATGAACTGTCAGTTATGCCTGAGGAAGAACTAGCATGCTTTTGTTTACCAGTGTTGCTTAGCAACGGCTGCTCCATAACCAGATGTTTCTGTTTGACTGGTCAAACCATAGCCTCACACTTGTGGGAGTCACAGAGTTAGGCTCTGGCTGTTAGACGGTCAGTGGTTAAAAGTTCATCATTTCATAAAATCATTTAGTGTTGAGCTGATAGAAATGTGGTCAGAGCGATGTTCTCCACCCTGAGGAAGCTCTTCGGCTTTAAGAAGGAGCATAAAACCCCCATGGGATTTTGTGATGGCCCAAGCAGTGAAACGGAGAACGTGTCCTGCTGTCATTGTAGAACTGAGGACAGGTACAGCCAACCTTATGATCCTGAAAACAAATTTCATGAAGCAGTGTGTATGGGAAAGCTCAAAGTGGTGCTGCATCTCCTTGCGAAGAATTTTCATGTGGATGATGTGGATGAAAGCAAACGGTAAGGACACTTGGAAGCTAAGGATTAGGAGCCTTGAGGAAGTCGGGTGATGGGAGAAGCCTACCTTTCCTAGCTCTGTTGTGGGCAACAGGGGTGAGGAGAGACCAGCTGTGCTTTCTGGACTACAGTCTCCTTGGTATCCGTGAGCACACAAAGGTCCGATGTGCAGATCTTTTTCTGCAGCAGGAGAACAACAAGACCAAAGCTCCAGCAGGTTTACTGTCGCCCCGCAATCCTCCTATGAGCATTTTCTTATGGAACATTGAATATACAATAGAATAATCTAACAAGCTATAAAGAAATGGGATTTAATTTCAATCTACACAATAAACACAATGTTGTATAAAATATAAAAACTACAGAGATCAAGTATTGCTCCTCATAATGCCTTCATCCTACATAAAATTATCCAAAAACATTCAATATGAATTTTTTATCTGTGTGTACTAACATTTATATTCCTCACTGAAATAATAGAAGTAATCTAAGCTTGATAGATGGTGGTGTGCTCCTCCTCCTCTTTTATTTTCTTGTTGTTTCTCACTAGTTTCCTAGGGATATCACTCTCCCATCTCAGTAGATTTCCAAAATTTCTCTTAAGTTTTTTCACTCATTAATTTATATATATCTGAAGGTTTATGCAGTGTGGCCTTGGCCAGACACCATTTTCATAACACTCTGGGCTGAAAAGCTCCAAGTTCTCTGAAAGTTACTTCTGACATCTTTACTTACTTCTGATAGAGGCGAATAGAACTTGCTGGGAATTTCATGATTTACAAATCAACAAACTATCTTGCTTTTCCAGTTTTGGCTTTACTTAAGGTTGCGCACAGTGTCCAAAATCTCTTTTGTGAAACTGATATTAGATACTGACATTAGGCATAGCACACATCTAATTTGGGTGTATTCTATGAATTTAACTATTGTCAAAAACAAGCCATTCTTACTTATTTGACTTGAAGTTCCATACATATTTCCTTTGACTTCAAATTCCTTAAAAATCAAAGCAAAGTTTGCTGTACATTTAGATTTTGTTGTTGATACTTTTCAGTTTTTCTCAATAGTACATTTTATAACTATGTTAATAACAGTATAAAGACTAGAAATATTATATATGTATAATATAAAATGTATATAACACATATAATATATATCACATTATATATAACATCTCACTTAGTATAGACAATGTGGATGGGACAATGACATGCTATCTTATGTATTAAGAATTGCTTTTAAGTGTTGGCAATCGTTGTACACTACGAATTGTAATGGCATTTCAGTTTTAGATGAATTAAAATGTGAGGAAAAACCAAATCTCAAGCTCAGTGCTGTGTCATATCTACAATCCAAGTTCCCTGGAGGCTTGGGCAGCAGGAACATAAGTTTATAGCAGAATATGTCTCAAGTTTTGCAGAGATTATCTTAGACTCCAAAATTTATATTCCTTAATATATTTACAAAATAGAGATAATGGAACTAATATTGACTTGAAATGTATTTATTATAGTGTTAACATTCGTAACTTAAATATCTAAAAGATGTTCAGCCATTATTGCGGAATATTTTTGAATAGTTGCAAAGGTTCTAATTGATGCATCCTAATTTGGCAGTATTCCTTTTAACACCCATTTTATGGACAAGAATTCACAACACAGAAAGGCTGAGAAGTAGTTGGTTGATAATGGAGTCTAGATTAGGATGCAAATTGAAATGATTTCACCTGATAGTTATGTTCTTTCTGTTCAAATAGGTTGCTCTTTACTACATTGCTCAATGATAGAGCACTTATCTAGGCTGCAACAACTGTGTGATTTATTCCCACACTGCCATAAAAGATATATGCAGTAAATTTTTTAAATATAGTAAATTATACAAGTAAATAAATAAATATAAAATTTGAATGAAGATAAACATTTGTTTATAGATCTATGGATTTAAATGCTATATAATAATTGTAAATGCAAGCATGATTGTGTATGTTGACATAGTACCCAACAGTTTTCATTCAAAATGCCTCTCATTCCCACAGAACTGCACTCCACTTCGAATGTTTCTATGGTCATCTGGATGTGGTTTATTTCCTGTTATTCATTGGATGTAAGATAGATGCCCTTGATGACCAAAAGTCCACACCACTAGCGAAGGTATTTCACAGACTTCAATTTCAGTAATGAAGTTGATCTAAGTGTTTAGAATGAAAGTAAAATTAATCTCACTTAAATATAAATCATGATGAAAGCTGGGGGAAGTTTCTCTTCTATTGTTTGAATTGAAAATGTTTTCCTGGTAACAATATCCACAGGCTATACAGAGCTGGGAGACAAAGATCGTTTCTGTCCTACTTGATCACGGAGCAGACCCCAATATTAAAGACTCCAACGGAGACACAGCTATCCACCACGCAGTGTATGTAGACAGTCCAGATATTACCAGATGTCTTCTTGAATTTGGGGGAAACATTGAAGATACTACAAAGGTGAAGATTTTCTAAATTGAATTCCCAAGTATTTGAAAACTATGTGCTTTAACACCGTCATACCTTGGGCTAATTTTTCATGTTTAGAAGTTCAAGTATTACTTGACAGGCACTTTGAAATAACTGGATTGGTATCCATCTAAGTATTGATACGTTCTTATAGTTTGTTTTTTAACCCATTCAGTCCGATTTATGCTGCCCACATACTCTTGGGTATATGACCATCCACTGGAGCATGTTCAGTCCACACAGGTCACACCTTAAATGAAAATGGCTATCTACTCCCAGCAGCTGTAACTATAGAGAAGTACTCACCTCAGAGCAGATCTTCATGCTGAATTCCTGCTTGCATAATGAAATTTTGTGTCACTTGAGCTCCTACAGCTCTTCTGAATGTTTTCACAGTGACTACCATGTCATATGAACAGCTATGCTGTTGTGCCCAGAGGACAATGTTTGTTCTTGGTTGTCCAGTTTCCCAGACTTTTTTTTCCCTTTTATTTTATTTTACAATACCATTCAGTTCTACATATCAGCCACGGATTCCCTTGTTCTCCCCCTTCCTTCCCCCCTTTCCTTCCCTCTAACCCACCCCCCCATTTCCACCTCCTCCAAGGGCAAAGCCTCCCCTGAGGACTGAGATTGACCTGGTGGACTCAGTCCAGGCGGGTCCAGTCCCCTCCTCCCAGATTGAGCCAAGCGTCCCTGCATAAGTCCCAGGTTTCAAACTGCCAGCTTATGCAATGAGCCCAGGATCTGGTACCACTGCCTAGATGCCTCCCAAACAGATCAAGCCAATCAACTGTCTCACCTGTCAGAGAGCCTGATCCAGTTGGGGGCCCCTCAGCCTTTGGTTCATAGTTTATGTGTTTTTCCATTCTTTTGGCTATTTGTCCCTGTGCTTTATCCAACCTTGGTTTCAACAATTCTCGCTCATATAAATACTCCTCTTTCTCACTAATTAGACTCCCAGTGCTCTACCCGGGGCCTAGCTGTGGATGTCTGCATCCAGATTCCTCAGTCCTTGGATAGGGTTTCTGGTACAACTATTAGGGTGTTTGGCCATCCCATCACCAGATTTGGTCAGTTTGGGCTGTCTCTCGACCATTGCCAGCAGTCTATTGTGGGGGCATCTTTAGCACTTTGTTTCTTCCTTTTCTCATGTGGTCTTCATTTACCATGGTATCCTATTCCTTGTTCTTCCTCTCAGTTCTTGATCCAGCTGGGATCTCCCGCTCCCACAGGTTCTCTTTCCCTCGACCCTCGCCCTTCATTACTCCCACTCATGTCCAGGTTGTTCATGTAGATCTCAGCCATTTCTCCGTCATTGGGCGATCCTCGTGTCTTTCTTTGGGTCCTGTTTTCCAGGTAGCCTCCCTGGTGATGTGAGTAGCAATCCAGTCATCCTTGTTCCACCTGTAGTATCCTCCTATGAGTGAGTACATAACATATTTGTCTTTCTGAGTCTGGGTTACCTCACTCAGGATGATTTTTTTCTAGATCCATCCATTTGCCTGCAAACCTCATGATGTCATTGTTTTTCCTCTGCTGAGTAGTATTCCATTGTGTATATGTGCCACAATTTATTTATCCATTCTTCAGTGGAAGGGCATCTAGGTTGTTTCCAGGTTCTGGCTATTACAAACAATGCTGATATGAACATAGCTGAGCAAGTGCTCTTGTGGTATGATTGAGCATTTCTTGGGTATATGCCCAAGAGTGGTATAGCTGGATCTTGGGGGAGATTGATTCCCAATTTTCTAAGAAAGCACCTTATTGATTTCCAAAGTGGTTGTATAAGCTTGCATTCCCATCAGCAGTGGAGGAGAGTTTCCCTAGTTCCACATCCTCTCCAGCACAAAGTGTCTTCAGTGTTTTTGATCTTAGCCATTCTGACAGGCATAAGGTGGTATCTCAGAGTTGTTTTGATTTGCATTTCCCTGATGATTAGGGATCTTGAGCAATTCCTTAAATGTCTTTCAGCCATTTGAGTTTCCTCTGTTGAGAATTCTCTGTTTAGTTCTATAGCCCATTTCTTAGTTGGACTGTTGGAAGTTTTGATGTCTAATTTCTTGAGTTCCTTATTATATTCTGGATATCAGTCCTCTGTCAGATGTGGGGTTGGTGAAGATCTTTTCCCATTCTGTAGGCTGTTGCTTTGCCTTGTTGACTGTATTCTTTGCTCTACAAAAGCTTCTCAGTTACAAGAGGTCCCATTGATTGATTGTTTCTCAGTGTCTGTGCTACGGGTGTTATATATAGGAAGTGATCTCTTATGCCAGTGTGTTCAAGACTACTTTCTACTTTCTCTTCTAGCAGGTTCAGAGTAGCTGGATTTATGTTGAGGTCCTTGGTCCACTTGGACTTAAGTTTTGTGCAGGTGACAGATATGGATCTATTTGCAGCCTTCTACACGTTGATATCCAGTTATGCCAGCACCATTTGTTGAAGATGCTCTCTTTTTTCCATTGTACACTTTTGGCTTCTTTGTCAAAAATTATATGTTCATAGGTGTGCGGGTTAATGTCAGGTCTTCATTTGGATTCCATTGGTCCACATGTCGGTTTTTATGCCTATACCAAGCTGTTTTTATTACTGTAGCTCTAGAGTAGAGCTTGAAGTCAGGGATTGTGATGCCTCCAGAGGTTATTTTTTTGTACAGGATTCTTTTGGCTATCCTGGGTTTTTTGTTTTTCCATATGAAGTTGAGTATTTTTCTTTACAGGTCTGTGAAGAATTGTGTTGGTATTTTGGTGGGGATTGCATTGAATGTGTAGATTGCTTTTGGCAAAATTGCCATTTTTATTATGTTGGTCCTGCCTATCCATGAGCATGGGAGATCTTTCCATTTTCTGACATCTTCTTCAATTTCTTTTTTCAGGGACTTAAAGTTCTTGTCATATAGGTCCTTCACTTGCTTGGTTAGTATTACCCCAAGGTATTTCATGTAATTTGTGGCTATTGTAAAGGGTGATGTATCTTTGATTTCCTTCTCAACCTGTTTGTCAATTGTATATAGGAGGGCTGCTGATTTTTTTGAGTTGATCTTGTATCCTGCTATGTTGCGGAAGGTGTTTATAAGCTTTATTAGTTCCTTGGTGGAATCTTTGGGGTCACTCAAGTATACTATCATGTCATCTGCAAATAGGTAAAGCTTGACTTCTTCCTTTCCAATTTGTATTCCCTTAATCTCCTTATGTTGTCTTATTGCTCTGGCTAGAACTTCAAATACTACATTGAATAAGGATGGGGAGAGCACACAGCCTTGCCTCGTTCCTGATTTTAGTGGAATTGCTTTGAGTTTCTCTCAATTTAATTTGATGTTGGCTGTTGGCTTGCTGTAATTTGCCTTTATTATGTTTAGGTATGTTCCCTATATTCCTGATTGCTCCAAGACTTTTATCATGAAGGGGTGTTGGATTTTGTCAAATGCCTTTTCTGCCTCTAGTGAGATGATCATGTGGTTTTTTTCTTTGAGTTTGTTTATATGATGTATTACATTGACGGACTTTTGTATGTTGAACAACCCTTGCTTCCCAGACTCTTACAGGTTTTACCTTGATCTTCTACAGTGACTCCAGAGACTTGAGAGGAGGGTTATATCAACAAGGAGAGAAAGATGGGTGGGTAGAGATGAGGAGTGCAATTGGAAAGTAGTTAAGGGAAAGGGGTGAATTTGAGCAAATCATATTGACTATAGCTCTCAAAATTATTTCCAAAGAGGGGGGGAAGTAAATGTTGTAAAGAGAGTTTAGCTTTCTTTTATGGAGCCATGGCAAATATTTGTGAAAAAGAAGGTAATGGACCAAAAGGATTATTTGACTTACACTTCTAGGTTACTGTATATTACTGGGGAAAGCAGAGTCAGGATCTTCAGACAGTTGTTCACGTATCATCTATCCTCAAGAGAGGGAGAAATGAATGAGCCCAGGTAGCCTGTTTGCTGACTACACAGCTCTCTCTCTCTCAAATCTTATACAGCCATGTTCTAAAACAAGGCTATGGTGCCACACACCAGGGGCTGGGTTCTGTTTGTCACTTCGCCATCAAGATGACTTCCTACAGGCAGCTGGATATAGCTTGGTCCAGGGTATCAGTAACTTGTGATCCTCTTTCCTTTTATCTCCACAGAACCAGAATAGGTGGCTTCTTGAGAAACTCAGAATACCCCTCTGTGTACCCCCAATCTGCCCCAAATACTAACATAACATTCAGCAAAGATGCAATTCCAAAAGATTCAACACCTACCCAAAATATTGACAAGCTGTGCTAGGATATAAATCACTTCAGGCTGTGGGTGATATTTCACCTTCAAACTGCTATCACAGACTCAATATTTGCAACTGAAGCATGGTGCATTGCACTACGAGCACTTGATTTCTACACATCCATTAGGAAGCATGCAGCAGGGGTTAAAATTTTAATAAACAAACCAAAGGACTATGGAACAGTTCAGTCCATTCATAATCTCAGTTCCCTCCAAAAAACCAGTGCATACTCAATCTCCAGGAGAATTAAAAAAAACATGCTTCATCATGACTATAACAAATCAAATCCTTATGCTTTTGAGACCCTATGATGGGCTGGTCCCTGCAGGAGGCACTTTCATGATCCAAAATCCAAGTGCAGTTTTTTTTCTAACAAACCAGAGTGGTATTCCTCCATTTCACTTTCTTTGCCTATACAGGAGTTTCAGTCTACTAGTCTTGTTTCTTGGTGCTTTTGACATAAATTTAGGATGTCTGAAGATTCATTGTCTCCCTTGGCAGTTTGCAGAGCACTACAGATTCTGAGGAAGCTAGTCCTTTGGTAGGAATCACTTGGTTAGTTCCAGCTTTATTCCTACCAGTCTTTTTCTACAAAGGATTTGGTGTCTTTTATAACAAGATCTTACACTTATGTGATGGGAGGCAACCAAGAGCAGTGGTAGTAGCTTATATTTTTTGGGAACTCTCTCTCAATAACTCTGGGGAATTTTTACTTGCCTGTCACTGTGTATTTTATTAACTGTATAGTTGGGCAAGACTTTTTCCACCCCTTGTTACATAACTCCATGGAAACTACAATACACCTTCTTTATCTCACTGATTTTGATAATCCTAAAACCATCATAGACTTCCAATATTAATTTTTAGTTAGGGGTTCACTATGTAGCCAAGTCTTTCCTAGAAGTTATGATCCTCTTGCAACACCCTCCACTCTCTTGATGGAATTACAATTGTGCCTTTATTTCTGAATCATGTAATGTTTGAAATACTTTTAAATTATTGCTCCATTTTGATTCCTGCTTTAGTTGTTTTCTAAGCAAAATATCAACCAGAATGAAAGCAATGCCTTTCTTATCTTTAAAACTTCCATTACACAGATCTGTATGCACTAGCAATAGTACACTACAGTCACTCAGTAAATTGGACTTAGATGCAATGATGATTAAAATGCAGCAAATACAGAGTATAATGGAGATCTACAACTAGTGAAAATGCAGAGACCAAAGGATCGTGGGTGCCTAACCATAATCCTACATCTACAATATCACACCAACACTTAAGTTTCAGGTGACATTGAGAAAGAAAGTTATAAAAAAAAAAAAAACCTCTGAGTTCCAGTGACCAGGATGACTGTTACAGAAATGTGTCTTCTAGATACAAAAGGGATAATTCATCTATGAAATCTCAATAATATGGTTGCCCAAATAAGACCTTCACAATGAAAACACCAGTTGACATGCAAACCCTGATGGGGGAAACTTCAAAACTACACTCCTAAATGAAGAGTTGCCCATTATCCCTAATTGCTGATAGTAGAATTCAGTTTTCTCTGGGGATACACTCTAAACTCCCCAATAGTTTATCCAACCACAGTGGGCATCCTTAAACACACACATGCCCATACATGCACACAGACACACAAAAACACACACACAGGAAGAGAGAGAGAGACAGAGGGGGAGGGAAAGAGAAAGAGAGACAGAGACATGTAGAAAGAGGCACACAAAGAGAATATCCACATTAAATGGAATCAGTAGGCTGTACATAGTACACATATGTGTGTGACAGTAATAAATAACTTATCCTGAATTTGAGAGGGAGTTAGGGGGATTTGGAGGAGTGAGGGGGTAGAAACTCTGAAAATACAGATCTCATGTAGGAAATCGTCTAAAATAATTTAAATAAAAACATTATACAAAATGATGTACTGGATTTTCTAAACAAGTTTTCAACTTATAAAAGGACAGAATCCATTTTAAGGTAAGCAACCAAAGATTCTTAGAGATCTTTCTAATTTTGAGGTCATTCCTTTGGTGACCTGCTCAGAGCAAGAGGCAGACACTGTTACCCTAGGCCCTTCCTGAATCAAGAATCAAGCAGATCTTCCTCTGTATCCTCAGCAAATACCACATCCTTACAACACTTTGAGAACTGTGCCTGTAAAGCAACTTCTGCTGTTGCTCATGTTTGCCCCACAAAAGATTTGCCAAACAGTTCTTCAGAAATCAGTTTTTAAATACTGGACAATTCCACAATTTTGTCATAATGCTTAATTTAGGGTTTTTTTGTTGTTGGAAAGTGGTACATCTGCCACATATCTGTGTTTTGAAATGCAGGAGAACTTCTGACATAGAAAAAAACTGCTCCTTGATACAATTTAGGATTGAACACATTTGTACTGTGTGTCAGTTTGTGTCTCTTCAGATAAACTCCCAGGGAAGAGTGACATGGATCCAAAATACCATGTTAAATTCTGTGACAGGAACCATAGGTCCATGGGTTTCACATCAGTTTTGTAATGGCCTAGAGGACTTTGTGACAACTGTAGACATGGTTGGAGCATTGCAATCTTGAGGCTCATTAGAAAGTGCATTAGGCTGATAAGGAAAAACTACTGTGGTCAAGTCTATGGTAAACATTATGGTCATAGGAATACATATAAGATTTTTCAGTTCAGTTGTGAAATATGCAGTATTGTGAGTGATTAATTGATATCATTACAGAGAGGGTTTACCCCTCTGCTGCTAGCACTCCGAGAAAGGAAACTCCGCATTGCAGAATACCTAATCACACACGGTGCAAATCTTCATGTATGTGATGAACATCAAAGGTACTACACTTTGAATTTTTAAAACACTACTTGGGTTGAAAATAGTCCGGAATAGTAAAAATCACTCATTTCAAATGTATTATGGGAATGTATTAGAAAATGTCAACAAAATATCAGTTACATATGTAAAAAGTATCTGTAACATGAAATGATAATGCCAAAGAATGATAGGTTCATATTCCCTTTGATAATGAGAGGTTTTTCTTATTTTAATTTTTATTATGACTGCCATATGATTTTATATGAATTGATAGTGTTTACATTTAAAATGTCAGTTCCAAAGTTTTCAAGTTTGCAATCACACAACCTTGTGAACCCATTTTAATCTCCAAATACTTTTGGTGGTATGCAGAGAAGGATGATACATGAATGACCGTTATAAACCTACATATGTGGCATGATATTAGTATCAGTAATTGAAAACATTCATTTTTACCATTAAAATTGCTTGATAACATTATCGCTATCATTTTATGCAGATTGCAAGTCCGTATTTAACAGTGAATTATATTACAATAGAATAGAAAGGAAATGGCATTTTTCTTCATATAAAGCTTTCTATACTTCTGGTCAGTTTTCTCCAAACAGTTAATTCACCATAAACAATTTAAAATACAAAGTCTACTCTATAAACTATTACAGTGAGCTAAGAAGTTTTCTGCTTGTTTTCTAGTTTTAGCCTTGTACATATTTTGGGATTCTGAACTCTGCTTTCAGGATGCTTGTCTGCTTAGTTAATGGTCAATTCTATACACAAAGGCATTCTACTTATATGGTAAAATGTATACAATTCACCATTTAAATAATTGAATTGCCTCTGTCATTCTAGAACACCACTCATGTATGCAGTTAAATGGGACTGTAAATATATTGTTCAAATTTTACTGAAGAGAGGTGTTGATTACCACGAAAAGGACAAATTTGGATGGAGCGCACTGCAGTATGCCATTGTGGGGAACCGCAAAGTGTAAGTACAGAAGTTAAAATGCTAATTGAAACTAAATTTAGACATGAAATATTTACCAACGGTATATTTTAACCAAGCATGACTTCATTATTTAAATACTATTGGAATGGAATCATTTTAGTCAACTCCACTTGCCATGGGATAAGCAAAGGGTTAGACTGGTCAGAATAGCAATGTGTGTGCAGGAGTCTTTATCTCAAGACTGATCTATGATGATGCTAGGAATCAAACCCAGGGACCTGAACATACTAGGCATTTATTTTACCATTGAGCTTCAAGGCTTAACTCTCCTTTTGAAGCCTTAATATCTTTATCTTTCAAGATCCCAGCATGCTCTGGTCATTCCAAGAATGAAGCAATGCATGGCACAGAATTTTAGTTTTTGAGTTACTTCTTTGAATCTAAACATTTGTAGTTTGACAGAAAATCCTGCTACTTATCTTGCAAATATTTCATCCATCTTACTACCTGATTGCCAACAAACTAACATGCTCCCTTAGTCCAACAAAGTAAAAATTCCTACATATATCAGATGGATGTGGCAGACATGAGGAAAACTTAGGAAGCATTTATTCATGGGGATTTAATGCAATTTCACCTGTCCTTCAGTCTGGTGTTGATGAAACTTGATTATCAGGTTGTACCTACTGATTGTAATCAGCTGTGATAAAGATCATAGTAGTTATGGAGCCATGAGAAATGGGTATTTGACATGCCCATGAGCTTTAAAATTCAAATTTTCTACTAATATAACATAGTGTCCTCTGGCAGCTAAAATTCTTAAGATTTCTCCAAAGCCACTGCTAGGCATCTGAACCTTATCATTTATTCAAAGCTTTCCAGTATCCTAAAAGACCATCATGGCATGGTACTTTGGAGGAGTCTCTCTTTTCAGCCATCAAATGGATCTGTGGATATACTAAATTATCACATGAATCCAAGTACTTGCAGAAATAGGCCAGAGATGCTTTGTCTCTTTCATAGTAATCTGTAGAAAAGGATTCCTTTACATCATCCTCTGTAGCACAATCTGTGTTTGTGACATATCTCTAGCACCTTTTGCAGGAAATGTGATAGAAAGTGATTTGGCCTACCAAGTGCTTTTCTGTGAAAAGGAACATTTTTCAAGACACTTGAGTCTGTACCTCAAGATTTTGTAACTCCAACTCAGAAGGAAGACACTGAATATAATTCTGTGAATCAAAATTATATTAACTGTATTCAGTAGCTAGTCCCATCACAGCTCATATGTATACTTACCACATGTATAAAAGATTTAGTTTTGCGTGTAGGTTGGTGGTAAGCATGGAGATTCAGAATCATTATGAGAAAACTCTGTTAGATCATTTTTTTCCTTCTTGGCTAAAGGAAGACCAGCAATACAGCAACCTATGTCTTGGAATTCATTACCGTTCTCACCTTGGGCTTACATTTTACTTTAGTAATAACAAATTGTGAATTCTGCAGCATTTGATAATATGTTATGAATTCACGAATTATTGAAGTGCTTTTCATTTAGGATTCTGATTGGTTAAAGACTGAGAAGCAAATTAGATACTGCTTTACTATTTCTGTACCTGTTTTTAGGTGGTGAAAATTTCATAACAAATGGTTAAACTAAAGTAGTAAAACCCTGGGTTTTGGAAACTTAAGTTGGAGCCTAAGAAAACACTTTCCCAGAGCAAGAATACTTAGGACTGCTTACTATATCAGGGCAGTTTCTATCCTGTCAAGATAATCCAGATGATTTGAACTGTATTGCCCCGACTCTACACCATTTCACTCTGTTCTTTCCTTCTAAAATGAGAAACTTTGTAAAACCCTTTAGAGTTTATAAATTCAAAGGCTATGTCCAGACGACTTGATGCAATCTCTTATCATCTTTGAACTACTCTTGAATACTTAATATATTGAAAAATGGTTTTCTTTCCATACTAAAATAATAAAATTATCTCCTACGATTTCTATATTTGGCAGAAAAAGCTTGATTTGGAAGTATGAGGACTCACTCCTCTCAAAAAACCACAGTATCTTCACACGTAAGTCTTTTGAAGGTTCTTTCTCTGTAGTCCTTCCTTAGATTAAAAATATTGCATTTAGAGTTTTTTGATTCTCTGTAATTAGGGTATATGCCCAGGAATGGTATAGATGGATCTTGAGGTAGATCCATAACAGGCTTCTTGAATAATGGTCAAACAGATTTCCATAATGGCTGTAAGTTTGTACTGCCACCACCAGTGGATGAGTGTTCCCCTTACCAGTCACCCTCAGTTTATAGTTTTCAATTGCATTTTAATTATTATATAAATAATTAACTTTCCCTCTTTCCATTCTGCTCTCCAACTCTTCCTGGGCAGTTTTAAACACCACGTGTCTATCCACATCTGAATTACTTAAGAAAATTAGTTGTATGAAATTGTTTTATAAAAAAGTTTCTCAGCTTTGCACTGGAATTATATACTTGCATGTAAAAATATTTTAAAATACCATACTGTGGTGAGATGCCAGCCTCTCTCCAGCCCACAGCACATTTTAGTTTACTTCATATATTTTTATTCTAAAAATGTTGACATAGTGTCTAGTTCATTAATAGTTCCACTACACTGTATTGTAATTTATTTTATTTGTTTATTTTATGTGTGAGTGTTTGCCTGTATGTACACCAGGCATGTGCACCATGTTCATGTCTGGTGCTTATGGGAGTGAGAAGATGGTGTTGTATTCTTTAGAACTGGAATTACAGATGATTGTAAAATACCACTTAGGTTCTGATAACAGAACACAGGTCCTCTTGAAGAGCAAAGCATGCTGTTAACTCCTAATTTGTCTTTTTAGCCACCCACACACATACTTCTATAAAAAACACATTATTTTTTCATGATAACAATTAATGCACTCCAGTAATTGAACATGATTCCTTCGATATATATATCACAGAAAATATGATTTGTATAGGTAAACGAGACACAATATTCAATCCTTTTATGATTTCCTTTCCTGAGTATATTGTTAAAGGAATACTTTCTTTTCTATGCATTTTAACTAAAGTACAATTGGATCCCTTTCCCACTTCCCTTTCTTCCCTCCAGCACTCTCCCTTATGCTCCCCCTTCTTCCATGTCCCCAGAAGCCTCAAATTGATAGTCTCTTCTTCCCTTATAATTACTGTTTAATGCACACATTCACACAGAGAGACACAAATGCCTGCTGAATGTCTAAAGCAAGGCATGTGGGTTTGGAGACATTAGACGGGGTTAATAGGATGGGAAATGGAAGAAGAGACTTACCCAACAATTGTGACTCACAAACAAAGAAGATTGTCAGCTTGGATGTGGAACAACTGTGGGTTTACTGATGGCAGTTGTTGGGGATGACAGAAAAAGAGACTTATTCAATAAAGGTGGCCCACAAACCTAAAATAATTGTAATTTTGTATTCAAACTCTTCCATTTAGGCAAATACATCAAATAGTGTTACTGAGATGTTTACTTACTTGGTGATTACTTCTAGCTCTGCTGAATGACAATGGTTGGGTTCGTACATGTATAATTAGAAATTAATTTCCTTTTCTGTGAGGTGTTGAACTCAAGGTTTCATACTTTAAGAGGAATGTGCTCTATGTATTTACTACTCTAACGACCCTATTTTTCTTTTTGTTTATCATCAAAGATAAGGCAAATATTGTGGTGATATATTGTGCACCCTAATAAAACTTACCTGAGGATCAGAGGACAGAGCCAGCCACTAGATTAGACATAGAGACCAGACAGTGATGGAACACACCCTTAATCCTATCACTTGGGAGACAGGTATCCATCTGGATTTCTGGGAGTTCAATGCCACACTGGGAATAGAGCCAGGCATGGTGGCACACACTTTTAATCCCAACGCTTGAGATCTCATGCCTTTTCTTAAAAAGTACACATGCCTTTAATCCCAGGAAGTAAGATGGCAGGGCAGAGAAAGGTATATATGGCATGAGTAAACAGGAAATCATGGTTTCAAGGATGAGGATTTTGTAAATGTAAGAACGTGGCTGGCTTGTTCTGATCTTTCGGCTTTCACCCCAATATCTGGTTCCAGGTTTTTAATTAATAAGACCTTTTAAGATTTCTGTTACAAAATATTTTCCATGATGTAAAATTCTTATTTCTTTAGATGTCTCCTTCATATGTAGGGTGGAGAAAGATAGTAGCATGTTTTACAACACATCTCTGACTGGGTCTTCCTGCTCTAGGTTGCCAAATACAGTAATTAATACCAAAAGGCAATATTTTTCCTCATAATATTTTTCATTATAATATCAAAAAAGTCATATTTTTCCAAACTGTATTCAAGTCTTTAACATTTTTTCCACATATAATAAACTTTAGAATATGAATACTATAGATAAAGCAAAAATGAACCTCTTCTTTGAGGAACAAAGAAGAAACTAGTCTACTAATGCCAGATTTAAATTCTGTTTTTTATTGTGGTGGTTAATACCTGTAGTGTTTGTCAGTAAATGTGAAGTCACGCTTACATCAGAGAATACTTGACTATCCACCAACAATCCTATTTTATCTTTTACCCTATTTTGCAAGACAGGTACTCTGCCATTGGGCACATTTCCTGTCTTCATTTTCCATGGGAAGATACTTTCTCAAGGGTAACATCAATAGGATCTCACCATGTGTTGTCTTTCTTATTTTACATAAAAGGGGAACTAGGTTTCTAATACAAAGACCTTAAATGAGTTATTAAGTGCCGATACCTGCATATGGATTTATAGATTTATAACAAACTGACCTAGCCTTCCTAGTGTATACTTTTAATCTTCTGAATATGAGCAATGTGCAGAGTGGATATGTTTTTACAGAGGGGATTTTTCCAGTGGTTATGTCCAAGGGTGATAATAGCAACTGAGTTTCTACCTTATTGCATCATAAGTAAGAATAAGAATTATAGCCAGATCTAAAAGAGCTCATCAGAATCTAACCGCAGAGGAGATCAGAGAGGTTGAGCAGCATTGATTTCACCTTTCCTGTCTTTTCGGATACCTTGCAAGTCTTTATAGGAAACATTGTCCTGATAGGTTTCTGTCATTTTAGGGGAGATTGATGAATACAATGATCATTGACTCAGGTTCTCTCTGATAGGTTATTTTATCTCTACCATAAGGATTGCAGCCGTGTATCTGGGGAAGATTTGTTGTGTTATAACAAAATATTTATACTGTCTCCAAATTAATCCTAATACCATTATTTTAGGAAAAGTACTCTCTTTGCTATTTATTTATGATAGGCATTGATTCCGGCATTGGCACTATTTGGCATTAATTGGAATTGTTGTCACTACTCATGGTCCCATACTTTGAGGTATCAAATGCTGATAATTTCTTTCATCCTTTTATTCAATAAATCCAAATGAGGTGAAATTTCCTGATGCATTTGTTATATTCCAGTACCATAGTTATTATTTACCTTAGATTTTTCATTTATAAATATGATATTTTGTAGACTAATACAATCTATTGAAATATGTTTTACTATTGATTCAATTATAGGAAAGCAGCCTGAAGATGTCTTTTCATCAGGGTAAGGTTTGAAGGTCTTTAATATAATTTTAACTTATAATCTGAACCAGGGAATAGAACTAGTGTTTATGGACCATTGTATTCTTCACTGATTCTATCTGATTTATTTAGTGTCCACAATGTATTAATACCATCATGTTTTAAAGCATTTATATCCTTGTGACTAAGTGTCTTACTGCATTAGCAAAGGCCATCCAAAGAGTTTGATTAATTCCATGATCCTGTAGATAACAAGTTGTCAGCTCATGACTGAACTGTCAGCTTGTGAATTCTCTTGTTCCTGTGACTACACTGAGATGGATCCATGTAAAAAGCCAGTTTTCCTTGTATGTCAACTATGGGTTAGAGTGTTCCTGAGAAACATATGTATAACTTCGTAGTTTTTCTTTTTGAAAGTTGCTGTTAGACACTCCATGAGTACTGCTATCAAGACTGGAGGGGAAAATCACACTTTACTGTGTCTATAGTGCCATAGGTTTGAACTGAACAAGATGAAAGAAGGCTTGGAATTACTTTACTGGAATGGTAGTCCATGTGCACATACACCATGTTATGTTGATACCATCAAGCATCTGTTTAAGGGACATTATGAACTTATACTCAGTTTTGTTTTCTCTTCAAACTATTGGACTATCAGAGTACAGGAGATTTTTTCCCCCTCATTTTATCAAATCCTTGTTTCCTCATGACACTAAGCATCCTGAAATTTTACTCTATATTTATTTTTTCATGTTTCTTGACCTGTAGTTTAGAATTTTTGACTGCCAGGTATTGCTTCTTGTTTTACTAGAGAATCTCAGGTCTGAAAAATTTGAAGTTTTTAAGGAATCTTGAAAACCAATAAAAATATCCTGAGCACAGCAAACTAGATCCAAATTTATACATAAAACAGTTGTTCTGAGGGAGAAGTCAAAGCTAAAACACAGTATTCTGTGGAGGTAGAAATACAAATGCCCCATTTTAGATTCACATTAGTTCCTTCGCTATTAGACCAGTCCACACTGACCAGTATATGATTGAGAGTTTCAGTAGGAAAACATGGGAATGAGTTGTGTTCCAAGTGAAAGAGGCCAAGAATGGCATTAAAAGTAATCCTAATGGTGGATGATTTGAATGTCTTGAACAGGGGAGGGCAGTTTTGAAAGGAACATCATGGAGGTCAACAGGACTGAGTTTGGCCTCAAGATGAGATTTTTTTGAAAGACAATGAAGTTATTTACACAGGACACAGGATGTTGAAAATCACCTCAGAATGGATAGGGTTGAATGTAATTTGCAAACTATGTTACCGTTTGTGCTTAATTGATGGACATGACAAATAGCTAGGTTCTTCTGTTCAAACTTGCTTGAGCAACATGAAGTCTTTATAGAAAAGAGGAATGTGGTATCACAGACAGTGGACTAGAGAATGTTCAGTACCAAGGGCTGGAAAGATCTGAATGAAAAATATCTGTGATCCACTGCCTCTGCTTCTTTTCCTGTTGTCTTTGCCAAAGTAGTATCTTTTCCAGATTGGAATTGCAGCACATAATCATATAATTTAGTAACATGTCTATGCTTGGAATGTGTGTTGCTGACCCTCCATTTAGCTTATGTGCCTGAAACAGGGAACTAGCTGTCTTTCAGATTCTTTGAGACTGTACTTTCAGGAATCTGCACCTTCCTGGGATGAATATTTAAAGGCTGGAGAGCATCACTGAAGAGTGCACAAGAGGGATCGAGGAGTGGTATCCTATAAAAGGAAGACATCTAGAGAACATAGAGGGAAACAGAGGCAAAAGTCCAAGGGATCTGCTTTTCCAGAACTCTGTGCCTTCAACTGAGCACATATGAAGGTTTTTCAGTGTTTGGTAGTTTCTGAATCAGCCTGAGCCAAGTAGGAAGCACAATTAAATTATTTGAACACCCCTGAAAAGGGAATTCCAAACCTCGATGTACACATTTGTTTGTTCACTTACAACTTTAATGTTTAAGGATTTCACATGTTTTTCATTACTTCACTGGTTGTTTTACAATGAATAGATGTGATGGTTTCCTTTCAATGGGTATTTTCCATGCTGAAGAATGAAGGTTGCCATTTAGTAGTTATACATTTTTGTGCTTTATTAGTAGAGTAGAATGAGGTCACTATTGTTTTGTTTTATTTTGAACTATTGTTTTTATTTAAATTAATGGTGAAAGAGTATGTGGACAATTAATTGTAATTTGTGTGCAATCATTAGGACAGTTTTCAAAACAAATGATTTTTCAGGTTCCACAAATGTACTGACTGACACTATTTGATGTGGAACTATGTGTGAATCTTTCTTGATAAGTGCAGAGATTAGAATTGGAGGCAGAAATTAACAACTGAACAAATTTTAGAAAACAAATGTCTAATAACAACAGAAATACCATTTGCTATTCAAATAACTAAACATCCAGGGAGAAATGCTTTTGACCACTACTTACTTATTTGTTTTGTATTTTTGCTTCAAAGAAATCACTTCAAATCTGAGTCTCTGAATTCTGTGTGTGCAAGGATGGAGGACAGAGATCATTTGAAAATCCAGGTAATCAATGTCTTTTTGAGGTAAATTCTTGGGCTGAGTTTCTTCTTTGTGGAGTTTGAAATGGTATAATATAGAACTTTTAATCACTTTAGATGGAGAATTACTAGAAATATTTTTATAAAATTATGACAATATTACTGTATTGGCTGTGAAAAATACCAAAACATAAAATTTATTTTAAGGGTATGAAAGACAAAAGTGAGGTAAAAAATAAGTAATCACAGAAAAATTATAGTTTGTATAGTTTACCACAGTGGAGGGAATTTGAAATTTTGGAATATTAGGACAAATAACTATTACTGGTTTTATCTTTATATCTTATAGCATGACTTTCATCATTTTCAGGCTTCTTTAAATATGTAGACCAACCTATTCATTATGTTACTTAATGTATCTCATCAATAGCTTACATTTCCAAATAGTGTATCAAAGAGTTTAGAAATTAGTATTAGTTTTTAGAGTACATTTTAAAAAATCTTTCACTCATGATACTAACTTTTAAAAGCAATTTTTAAGTCTGGTGTAGGTGGATGTTTCCTTGTGTCCTGCAGCCATTCGGTCCCAAATAAACACACAGAGGCTTATATTAATTATAAACTGTTTGCTATATGGCTCAGGCTTATTGCTAGCTATTACGTCTTAAATTAATCCATTTCTGTTAGTCTATGTGTTGCCACGTGTCTCATGGCGTTACCTGTATTTTATTACAACTTGCTACCCCAGGCAACTCGCAGTGTCTCCCCTGACTCCACCCTTCTTCTTCCTCTGTCTCTCTTGGTTTTCCTGCTTGGCTCTATCCTGCCCTGCCATACACAAAAAATAGCTTTATTTATTAACCAGTTGGAGCAATATATATTCACAGCATACAGAAAGGCCATCCCACAGCATCTTAGTACTTTATCTAGAAAAAAATGTAAGGTGATTAAAATTCAGAAATACAAAATCTTTCTCTCAAAATTAGTATAATAGTAGCTTTGCATTATTCATTCTAGTAATATGTTGGATCCAGGCACCATGGCACAGACTTTATCTTAAAATTCATCATTTTCTATTTTTCCTTCCAGGCTTGGTTTTTCTTAGCATATGTGACTGTAGGAGGTGAAAAACAGGTTGATCTCAAGAGCATGCAAGCTTGTCTATGAAAACATTCTGATTTTAAAATATTCCCCTATTTTTAAGTTTAATTGAATTCAAAATTAGAAATTTAACTATATTCTCATTATTATTTTTCATTACTTTAGCAAGATATTTCTGAGAATATTCTGGAAAGTGGAACAGATGACTTACCAATAGCTTTTATACAACATGAAAATACCGAAGCACAAGAAGGTAATACACATGCTTAGCTTGTAAGATCATTTGACAGAGGTTTGCTTGAAATACAACAACAAATACCTTAGCCAAATAAAATAACCCACTTAATACATATTAAATCAAACAAAAGTAAAAATGCAATGGTAGGCAAGAAAAACTGTCATCCAAAGGTTGAAGTAAGAATGTCAGTAAAAGAGTCGCCTTTTATTTTATTTAGTTTTTGATAATTTCATGCTTGTCTATTATATTTACATCATTTTCAGCTTTCTGACTATTCCTACAACCCGTTCTGTGCTCAAGTCCTTAATAATTCTCTGTGTGACTTCTCTTCTATACTATTGGTAAAGACACACTGTGTGTGTGTATGTGTGTGTATCTGTGTCTCTGTGTGTTTGTGAGTGCATGAATGCTTGTATGTATGTGTGTATTTGTTTAGTGTTGCTTATACGTACATGTGTTTAGGACTGATCACTGGAATTGCACAACCTATTATTCTACTATAGAGCTCATCTTTGGAAAATCAACGGATTTGTCTTTTTTTTTAGCAGCCACTGATTGCCTACAGATCTACATCTGGGGGTTGTGTATTGTGCAATTTACTTCACCTATAGTAGCATTTCATCTGGTATTGTCCTTATGCAGGTGTTTTTTTTCAGAAATCATACTTTTGAAATTTCATGGTAGCAATATCCAAGTCATGCATAGAAGATGCTGTGTAGTTTCAAGAGTCCTGGTACTCTGATTTTACAATTTAACTATCCCATTCTTGCTATTTTTTCTGATCCTTAGATTTAGGGTTTTATAATTGGGGGCTGGGCATATCATGGTAACTTCTTGAATTTTGATTAATTGTATATATATATATATATATAATACTTCTATGTACTGCTTAAAGTAAATTCTTTGAGGAGAAATAACAGCTACATTCTTCTATGCATATAAACATGACTATAAGAGCAGCATAAGTATACTATTATAAGAAAGTGGTAGTAGTACATGACTCCTAGTGTTTATGATTTCTCCATCCATATGTTTGGTTAGTTTTCCAGAACAAGGAATAAATTTCTCATTGAGTGAGTCTCAAGATCAGTAGTACATCTGTTGGTTACCCAAAAAGTAAATGTGCCACTATCATAGCATGAGTGATATCTGCCATGCTTGTGGACATCTTGGTGTGTAACATTTTTCTGCTGGTGGGATTACTGATTGCTTATCTCCCTTGGCACTTTGCATAGCATGTTCTCATAGTATGAAAGCAAGTGTTCATGTCAGTTCCAGATAAATTACTCCAAATTCTGTGTCTAAAGTATGTGGTGTCTTGAGCAATTGGACCTTACAACTAAAACCATTCTTCTAGTTTCAATAAAACAATTATTTTCCAATCCTTGTCCAATTTCCTTAATTTGACAGTTTTGAATGTGCTTGTGGATGTGAGCATGAGATAAATGTTCTAAAAAATCTATGACATCTGAAAATGTAGATTTTAGAGAGCTTGGTCATTTATGAGAAGTGTGTTAATTTCTAGATGAGTTAGGCAAATATTAGTATTTCTTGAGACTGGCAACATGTAGTGTCTATACTAGTGATATACTGGTATTTCTACAACCAAGAAATTTATCTAAGGATATAATTATTCATATATAAATATATTTAATTGAAATTTTTAATAAGAGTAATTTTTCCATATTGTAATTACAATTGTATTTCAATCTATTGTCATAGAGCATTTTGTATCTAATTGTTATATTTATTTTTTTATATATAATATGTAGATATGTTAGAAGAACTAGAGCTAGAAACAATACTGGATTTAAAACTGGAAAGTGAAAATGTTTGTAATAATTATGAAGACTCTCAAAAATTGGTATGTAACTGTTTAAATTTAAATTTCTTACCAAATTCTCTTTGGTTTAGTGATTTTACCATAGTCCAAAGGAAACTTCATTTCAGGCTATTATATGCAGTATCTAGATGATAATTTAAAATTGAAATGAAAGACTTTTATCTATTATAAAACACATTGTACTCTTATAATACAGCTACATGGCTAATCATTTTCTTTTGTAAATAATTGGATGAATAATTATGTGATTATTACCTGTGCTTTATGTTAAGCTCTTTACAGGGCTGGAGAGTTTCATGGCTCTCCATGAATATTGGATGAGATAAAATTAAAGATTTCAGAGTTGGAGTCATTTCATAAAGCTGATTCTACCTGCAAGAACTAAATTTGTTATGTGATGATTATACTCAGTCATGCAAAGGAGAAATTTTTTTCATTATGGTCATTGGGTTATTTCAAGGTCATCATTTGAGAAGACAATATGGACATATAATCAACTAAACTGCCAATAAAAAGAATTTTTGATTCCATAAAGGAGGCTTAATTGTGAAGGAACAGCTCAACTATTTTGCCTAATTCAATGAAGAAGAGCAATTGTTTCCATATCATTGTCCAATGCCCTTAATGAATGTATATATATTTGTGTTAATGTAGAGAATCCAAATAGATTCAAGACACTATAATTTCCCTTTTCCATACTGTGTTCAGAGACACAATACAATGTTAGGTACTTACTGAAGTATGAGTGTGTTCTAAAGGCATTTTTAATGTTTCAAACCCACATAAATCTTTGTAGTCAATATCTACTCTATGTTGAGAAATCAAGTATTTCAGAGGGAATCCTATGCTATAGTGATAGAACACAAAACAAGTAAAAAGCAACTGTTTTAGGTCAGATAGGTGCATTTTTGTCATAAAGAAAACATATGGTGCAGGGATTTATGTAAGATTTTCATTAAGACAGGGTGGGAGTGAGAACGGTATTCTGTCATCAGAGCTCTAAGTATGAAGGCTAGCACGGTTTAGAAGATGAAGGAGTGACTACTCAGTAACTGTCAAAGAGAATGGCATTACTGTACATATAGAATAGTGGACAACATATTCTCATAACTTTTAAATTCTTGAATGATGAGAAAGTAGACTTGGTTATTCCATTAAATATGCAGAATGTGAAAATGTGTTTGGGGAAGATTTTTGTTCACGGATAAACATTTGCATCTTGAAACTGCATAGTGTTCTAATGTTGTTTAAAGGTAATGTAGGAAACAAAATCTTCTCTGCTTTATCATTTTGATCCAGATTTACCATCTATAAGAAATTAACAACATATGTCAGTTTTGTTTGTTTGCTTTTACTGAAATTAAGTACATTCTGCCTTGTTCCTTTCACAATCAACTTGATACAGTATAAATGCTTTTTAACATAATACATATCCCTTATCAAGCCTAACCACACAAATAGTGTCATTTTATAACACTTCATGATTAATGTTAAACTTGTACTAGCAGATGGCCCTACTAAGAATGTGAACATTTGTGGCATTAACATCCTCCAACTTTAGTAAGAAGTACATATTAGTTTTATGTATTATAATATTGAATAATTACCTTTATTGATACCTTTATTGATAGATGCATATCAGTTATTACTCTGTCTGTGGATGTTTTCCTCTGTTCTATATTTCTTGGATGTAATTGGGAAATAAAATATAGGCTTAAACTTGACTGTATATGATATTTCCCATTCAAATACCATGATCTTTGATATATACTGCATATACTCTCATGAAAAATTTTCTTAAAATCAGATATCACAGTATGTTCAAAAATAGAAAATAAGATCTTGTGGATATACATTACTAATATCATGTGACACAGTGTGTTTAACCATAATCCACTGCAGGAAGCTTCCAGAAAAGCTGCCCAGTCATCCAACATAGGAAATAATGCAAAAGAAGATGAAATAAATCAAGGTATGAGTCATCATTTAAAGATTTTTTATAAGACAATGTCTGAGATCTACATGAACAACCTGGACTTGAGTGAGAACAATAAAGGGCGAGGGTCGAGGGAAAGAGAGTAGAGATCCCAGCTGTATCAAGAACAGAGAGGGAGAACAAGGAATAGGAGACCATGATAAATGAAGACCACATGAGAAAAGGAAGAAACAAAGTGCTAAAGAGGCCCACAGAAATCCACAAAGATACCCCCACAATAGACTGCTGGCAATGGCCGAGAGACAACCGGGACTGACCTACTCCGGTGATGGGATGGCCAAACACCCTAATAGTTGTGCCAGAAACCCCATCCAAGGACTGAGGAATCTGGATGCAGACATCCATGGCTAGGCCCCGGGTGGAGTGCTGGGAGTCTAATTAGTGAGAAAGAGGAGGGTTTATATGAGCGAGAATTGTTGAAACCAAGTTTGGATAAAGCACAGGGACAAACAGCCAAACGAATGGAAACACATGAACTATGAACAAAAGGTTGAGGGGCCCCCAACTGGACCAGGCCCTCTGAATAGGTGAGACAGTTGATTGGCTTGATCTGTTTGGGAGGCATCTAGGCAGTGGTACCAGGTCCTGGGCTCATTGCATGAGTTAGCTGTTTGAAACCTGGGGCTTATGCAGGGACGCTTGGCTCACTCTGGGAGGAGGGGACTGGACCTGCCTGGACTGAGTCTATCAGGTCAATCTCAGTCCTGGGGGGCAAAGCTTTGCTCTGGAGGAGGTTGGAATGTGGAGTAGGCTGGGGGGAAGGGGAGGGGGGCAGGAAGGGGGAGAACAAGGGAATCTGTGGCTGTTATGTAGAACTGAATGGTATTGTAAAATAAAATAAAAAAAGATTTTACATAAGACAAATCCTAGTATAATATACTATATATACTATCCAAAGAAATCACTGAATAAATTTACACTTAGATAAGAGACAACAAAAGTGGTAATAAGCCCCATATGTTAATAAGCATGAGCAATGTGTAAAATTGAGATAGTCCCAGGAGGATCTGTGAGTTCTCTTGTACCTGAAATATCTAGGGTTATCCATGGTGTCCCTTTAGCCATTGACTCAACTGTGCATAACTAAAAGTTTCATGTTTGGTGAAAGATGTCTAACTGGGGCTTTATTTCTTATTTTATCTCTTAGTTAGAGGCTTCATTTGGATTTATTTTATATACATATACATTTAGAAATCTACAGTAGTAGGTTTCCATATGGTTTTTCAAGTGGACTTAGTAAATTGTCCATCCCCATATTCCCACCCTAACCTCTCTCTTCCATTGCCCTTCCTCCCACTGTCTCTCTATAATTATATGTTCTATTTACCTTTATTTGAATGATCCTCTCAAGCAGTCCCTTACTTGATGCATAATCTCTGTGGTTATATGGATTTTAGCATACATGTTGAAAACGTAAATGCTAACTAACACTCACACATGAGGGAAATTATACAATATTTGACTTTTGGATCTGGTTCTCCTCACTCATGATGGTTTTTCTCTAGCTTCATACATTTTTATGTAAATTTCCTAATTTCCTTTTTGATAGCAGCAAAACACCCCTTTGTGTAAGTGCACCACATTTTCATTATATATTTGTCAGTTAAAGGACACCTAGATTATTTCCTAAATATGGCTATTGCAAATAAATCAATAATGAAAACGTATGAGCAGGTAATTATGTAGTAGGATATAGAGACCTTTGGGTATTTGAGAGAGAGAGATGTATAGGTGGATTTTGAGAAGAATCAATATCCAGCTTCCTGAGAAAATGGCACACTGATTTCTATAATGGCTGTGAAAGTTTTCATTCTCATCAGCAATGAATAAGTGGCCCATTTGCCATATCTTCACAAGCATGAGTCATCATTTGCTTAATTGAACTTCGAACAGGGCTACAATGAAATCTCAAAGTACTTTTGATTTGCATTCTCCTGATAAATAAGATGATGAGCATTTATTAAAAGTTTGTCAGCAGTTTGTGTTTCATCTTAAAAAAAATTGTCATTGTATCCCTGAACACCATTATCATTGGGTTATTTGTTTCCTGGGAGTCCAATTTTTTCTTCTTTATGTTTTAGATATTAACTGTATGCTACAGTTTTAAATGCTTAAGTTCTTTTCATATTCTGTAGCTTGATATTTTTCCCAACTGATGGTGTCCTTTGCCATAAAGAAGCTTTCAGTTTCATGTGGTCCCATTATCTAAATATGGGTCTTAGTGCTATGGTACAGGTGTTCTCTAAAGAAGTCTTTCCTGTACCAGTGAGTTCAAGTCTATTACAAACTTTCTCTTCTGTCATATTCAGGGTATCTAGTCTTATTTTGAGATCCATGATCCATGTGAAGTTGAGTTTTGTTCAGGGTAATAAATACACCTATGTGCAGTCTTCATGTAGCCATAAAGTGTGGTGCTCATCGTGAGGGTACCTATTTTTTAACCAGAGTGTATTTCTAGTTTCTTTATCAAGAATCAGATGTCCTTAGTGTTTGGACATCAATTTGATTTCATTAATCAGCATGTCTATTGTGATGCTAGAACCATGATGTTTTTATTACTCTAGCTCTGTAATAAAACATACAATCTGGGTATGTAATAAAAACATACTATTTCTCCAACCTCTTTTGTATTGACACTCTTCTTAAATCTATCCAGGATATTTTTATTTCTATATGAACCTGAAAGGCTTTTTGATGCTTTTTTGGTTGTTTTCTTAACTTCTCTGAAAACTTATATTGGAATTTGATGAGAATTAAATTGAATCAATAGATTTCTTTTGATATATTTCATGTCAGCTACCCCCCAACCAGTAAAATAATAGGTGTTTATTTTGAAAGAAGGGAATGAGAATTCATTGCCATCCAAAGCCTTCATAAAGGTAGGTTTGAATTCTTATTGTACATGAGAATGACTGTACTTTCTTTGTCTTTCAGTTTGGGCTGAAAAATGTCCACATCCAGAGGTAAATGCCTTTTAATATTTATATTGAATAATTATATATTGATTGAACTCCAAAACACTGATTAAATATCTCATTTCAAAACTTATTCAGCTGAGGAATTACTGTCATCTAATCTCCCAATGCAAGTCTGAAACACAGCAATCTCAAACAGGTAAATTTTCTTTCTCTTGATCAGTGTATTCTGATACATTTCAAATGCACACAGTCTTCCCAATGCCAATTATATCTTGATGATAATTGTGGAAGTTTTTGTCATAAGCAATGCCAACTCACTAGTGGCATACATACTTCAAAAAGCATTGAAGTACATTACATTGACAATATAAAACATTTACAAATGACAGCTTAGCTTCAATGTTTAATACTTATGTTCCACTGCCTTATCATTTCCAGCATGCAATCTCTCTGTTTATTAGTGAGTTATAGAAGTCAATCATGAGACTAATGAGACTGCCCCAATGATTGACCATGATTTCTTGATACCTGGGTCTCAGAATGTACACCTACACAAATAAATAACTGTAAGGACAAGGCAGAAACTTAATTGAGCTCAGAGATTCTGTTCTGGACTGGACAAACAGCAGTATACAATACCTTCAGAAAAGAAAATCAATTTTTGTGTTGTTCTAGAACTCATAGTGCACTGCTTCACTTCATTCATAGTGCACTGTAATTTCATTATAAGGAATAGGAAATGTATTTAAGAATTCTTATCTATAATGTACTTCAATAACGCAGCATACACTATTATTTAGTGGAACAATCTTTGAAAATCCCAAAACTTGCATAGATATCTTGCCATAGGAAACTTTCAGCTTCAAGTGGGTCCATTTATTAAATGTGGGTCTTAGTGCCTGTGGTATAGGTGTCCTATTCAGAAAGTCTTTTCCTGTACCAATGAGTTCAAGATTATTCCACACTTTCTCTTCTGTCATATTCAGGGTTTCTGGTCTTATTTAGAGATCCTTGATTCATTTGGAATTGAGGTTTTTTTCAGGGTAATAAATACAGATCTATGTGTAGTCTTCTTAATGCAGCAACCAGGATGGGTTCACCTCCATGTGTGGAAGGTGTTTTTTACCTAGTGTGTATTTTTGGTTTCTATATGGAAAAAATCATGTGTCTATTAATGTGTGGATCTCCGTTTGATGTTCAATTTGATTTCATTAATCAACATGTCTTTTGTGATGTTAGAACAATGCTGTTTTTATTAGTTTAGCTCTATAACAAAACATGAAATCTAAGATAGTGATTTCTCCATCCTCTTTTAGTATTAAGTATCCTTTTATCTCTATCCAGAGTTAGGTTTTTCATTCTTTTGTTCTTTTTTATTTAATTTTTTCTTTACTTATCAACCATTGATTTCCCCCTCTCATCTCTCTCCTCCTCTCTCCCCCAGCCCATCCCCAGCCCCTCCTTCAAAAGGGTAAGGCCTCCCAAGGGCAGTTAGCAAAGCCTGGTACAATCAATTGAGGCAGAACCAAATCCCTCCCCACTGCATCAAGACTAAGGCTTCCCATCACAGGTAATGGGCTCCAGAAAGCCAGTTCATGCACCAGAGATAGATCATGGTTCCACTGCCAGGGGCCCTTCCAACAGACAAACCGACACAACTGTCACAGCTGTCCACAGCTGTCAGCCTGAACTTCGTGTGTTCCTATGAGCTTGGTTCAGTTGTCTCTGTAGATTTCCCTATCGTGATCTTGACTCCTATGCTTGTATAATCCCTCTTCCTTCTCTTCAACTGGATTTTTGGAGCTCAGCCCGATGTTTGGTTGTGGATCTCTGCATCTGCTTCCATCAGTTACTGGATGAAGGCTCTATGATGACAGTTAGGGTATTCACAATCTGAGAACCAGGGTAGGTCAGTTCAGGCACTCTCTCCACTATTGCTAGGGAATTTCCCTAGCACCAGGTTTCATTCTTACCCCACAATGTCTCCCTCTATCAAGATCTCTTTTATTGCTCTCCCACTCCATCCCTTCCCCAGTTCAAAAATCCCATCCCCTCATGTTCTCATGCCCTATACTCTCCTCTCTATTGCCTCTCCTTATCCCACTTTACTCATGGAGATCTCATCTGCTTCCCCTTCCCAAGGCAATCCATCTGACCCTCTTAGAGTCCTTGTTTCCTATTACCTCTGGAGCAATGGGTTATAGTCTGATTATCTTTTGCTTTACAACTGGTATCCACTGATGAGTGAGTACATATTATGTTTTTCCTTTTGAATATGGGCTACCTCACTCAGGATGATATTTTCTAGTTCCATCCATTTGGCTGCAAACCTCATGATGTCATTGTTTTTTCATAGCTGAGTAATACTCCATTGTATATGTGTACCACATTTTCTCTATTCATTCTTCTGTTAAGTGGCATCTAGTTTTTTTTCCAGGTTCTGGCTATTATGAATACTGCTGCTATGAACATAGTTGAGCAAGTGTCCTGGATAATTTAGCATCCATTTTGCATATGCCCAAGAATGGTATCATTGAGTCTTAAGGTAGATTGGTTCCCAATTTTCTGAGAAGTCGACATATTGATTTCCAAAGAGACTGTGTAAGTTTGCACTCCCACCAACAGTGGAGGAGTATTACCCTTGCTCCACGTCCTCTCCAACATACACTGTCATCTGTGTTTTGGATTTTAGTCATTCTGACAGGTGTAAGATGGTTTCTCAGAGTTGTTTTGATTTGCATTTCCCTGATGACTAATGATGTTGATCAAATTCTCAAATGTCTTTTGACCATTTGAGATCCTTCTATTGAGAATTCTCTGTTTATATATGTAGCCCATATATTTTATTTTATTGTACTGTTTGGTAGTTTGATGTCTAGTTTCTTGAGTTGTATATAATTTGTGATCAGCCCTCTGTCAGATGTGAGGCTGGTGAAGATCTTTTCCCATTCTGTAAGCTGTCATTTTGTCTTATATACTGTGTCCTTTGCCTTATAGAAGCTTCTCAGTTTCAGGAGGTCCCATTTATTAATTGTTATTCTCAGTGTCTGTGCCTGACAAAGTTGCTTTATTGTAAAGGATTGTTTAGCTATCCTTGTTTTTTTCCCATATGAAGTTGAGTATTTTTCTTTTGATGTCTGTGAAGAATTGTGTTGGAATTTTGATGGGGATTGTATTGAATCTGTAGAATGATTTTCATTTTTATTACATTGATTTTGCCTATCCATGAGCATGGGAGATCATTCCATTTTCTGATATCCTCTTTAATTTCTTTCTTTTGGTCTTTCACTTGTTTGGTTAGAGTTACGCCAAGATATTTTATATTATTTGTGGCTATTGTAAAGGGTGATGTTTTTCTGATTTCTGTCTTGGCCCATTTATCATTTGTATATAGGAAGGCTATTGTTTTTTTTTGAGTTAATTTTGTATCCCTCCACATTACTGAAGTTGTTTTTATCAGTTTTAGGAGTTCCCTGGTAGAATTTTTGGGGTCATTTATGTATACTATCATAACATCTGCAAATAGTGAAAGTTTGACTTTTTCCTTTCCAATTTGTGTCCCCCTTGACTTGCTTTTGTTGTCTTATTGCTCTAGCTAGAACTTCGAGTACTATATTGAATACATATCTTGAGAGTGGACAGCCTTGCCTTTTCCTTATTTTATTGGAATTGATTTGTGTTTATGTCCATTTAATTTGACGTTGGCTATTGGCTTGCTGTAAATTGCTTATATCATGGTTAGGTATGTTCCTTGTTTTTCTGATCTCTGCAAGCCCTTTATCATGAAGGAGTGTTGAATTTTGTAAAAGGCTTTTTCAGTATCTAATGAGATGAGCATGTGCTTTTTTTTTACAGTTTGTTTATATGGTGGATTTCATTGAGAGATTTTCATATGTTGAATCATTCATGCATCTTTGAGATGAAGCCTACTTGATCATGTGGATGATTTTTATGTGTTGGTGGAGTCAGTTTGCCAGTATTTTATTGAGTATTTTTACATCAAAATTCATCAGGGAGATTGGTCTGTAATTCTCTTTCTTTGTTGCATCTTTGTGTCATCTGAGTATCAGGGTAAGTGTAGCCCCATAGAAAGAGTTTGGCAATGTTCCTTCAGTTTCTATTGTGTGGAATGATTTGAAGAATACTGGCAGTAATTCTTTTTTTTTTAGAAATTATGGTAGAATTCTGCGTTGAAACTATCTGGCCCTGGGCTTTTTTTTAAGTTGGGAGACTTTTAATGACTGCTTCTATTTCCATAGGGATTATAGGTCTTTTCAAATTATTTTTCCAGTTTTGATTTAATATTGGTATTGGGTACTTATCCAGAAAATTGTCCATTTCTTTTATATTTTCCAACTTTGTGGAATACAGGTGTTTAAAGTATGACCTGATGATTCTCTGGATTTCCTCATTGTCCATTGTTATGTCTCCCTTTTCATTTCTGATTTTGTTAATTTGGATGCTCTCTCTCTCTCTCTCTCTGCCTTTTGGTTAGTTTGGATAAGGGTTTGTCTATCTTGTTGATTTTCTCAAAGGATCAACTCTTGTTTCATTGATTCTTTAAACTGTTCTCTTTGTTTCTATTTTATTGATTTCAGCACTCAAGTTGATTATTTCCTGGCATCTACAACTCCTGTTTGACTTTGCTTCTTTTTCTTCTAGAGTTTTCATGTGTGCTGTTAAGTTGCTAGTGTGAGATTTCTCCAGCTACTTAATGCAGGCATTTAGCACTATGAACTTTCCTCTTAGCACTGCCTTCATAGTGTCCCATAAGTTTGGGTATGTTGTACATTCATTTTCATTGAATTCTAGGAAGTTTTTAGTTTCTTTATTTCTTCCTCTACTCAGTAGTGATTCAGCTGAGCATTATTCAGTTGCCATGAGTTTGTAGGCTTTCTGTAATTTGTGTTGTTGTTGAATTATAACTTTAAGCCATGGAGGTCCAATAAATTACAAGAGGTTATTTCAATTTTTTTGTCTTTTAGGATTTGCTTTGTGACCAAGTATGTCAGTTTTAGAAAAAGTTGCATGTGGTGCAGAGAAGAAGGTATATTATTTTGTGTTTAGGTGGAATATTCTGCAGATGTCTATTAATTCCATATGTGTTATAAGGTCTCTTAGTTCCCTTATTTCTGTGTTAAGTTTCTGTTTGGCAGACCTGTCCATTGGTGAGAGTTGGGTGTTGAAGTCTCTCACTATTAGTATGTGTGGTTTGATGTGTGATTTAAGCTTTAGTAATGTTTCCTTTACATATGTGGGTGTCCTTGTATTTTGGGCATAAATGTTCAGAATTGAGACTTCATCTTAATAGATTTTTCTTGTGATGAATAAATAATGTCCTTCTCAATCTCTTTTGATTAATTTAGTTGAAGTCTATATTTTTTTAGATATTGGGATAGCTACATAAGCATGCTTCCTAAATCCATTAGATTAGAAATTTTTTCAAACCCTTTATTCTGAGATAATGTCTATCTCTGAAGTTGTGTGTGTGTGTGTGTGTGTGTGTGTGTGTGTGTGTGTGTGTGTGTGTAGTTGTGTGTGTGTGTGTGTGTGTGTGTGTGTGTGTGTGTGTGTGTGTGTGTTTCCCTTCTCTGGGATTTGTTGGTATGAGATTATCTATTTCATGTGTTTTTGTGGGTGCATCTAACTGCCTTAGGTTTGAGTTTTCCTTCTAGTGTAATCTGTAGGGCTAGATTGGTGGATAGTTATTGTTCAAATCTGGTTTTGTCATGGAATATCTTGTTTACTTGGTCTATGGTGATTGAAAGTTTTGCTGAGGATAATAGTCTGGGCTGGCATCCTTGGTCTCTTAATGTTTGCATAATGTCTGTCCAGAATTTTCTGTCTTTCAGTCTCCATTGAGAAGTGTGTTATTTGGTGGGTCTGCCTGCCTTTATATGTTACTTGACCATTTTCCTTTGCAGCTCTTAATATTTTTTCTTTATATTGTATGTTTAGTGGTTTGGTTATTATATGGCAAGGCAACTTTTTCTGAGTCCAAGCTATTTGGTGTTCTGTAAGCTTCTTGTATCTTCATAGGCATTTCCTTCTCTAATTTGGGAAAGTTTTCTTCTATGATTTTGTTGAATATATTTCCTCTGCCTTTGAGCTGGTATTCTTCTCCTTTTTCTATCCCTATTGTTCTTGGTTTGGTCTATTCATAGTGTTCCAGATTTCCTGGACATTTTGTTTGATTACTTTGTTGGCCTTAATGTTTTCTTTGACTGATGAGTATGTTTCCTCTATCGTATCTTCAACGCCAGAAATTCTCTCTTCCATCTCTTGCATTTTGTTGGTTAGGCTTGCATCTGTGGTTTTTGTTCATTTACTCAGATTTTCCATTTCCATCATTCTCTTGGTTTGTGTCTTCTTTATTGCCTCTATTTCAGTTTTTAAGTCTTGAGCTGTTTACTTCACCTGTTTGATTGCTTGTTTTCTTGATTTTCTGGATTTATTGTTTTCTTCCAATTTTTTGTCTTTTCCTTAATTTTGTCAAGGAAAATTTTCATTTTCTCTTTAAAGCCCTCTATCATCTTAATAAAGTCATTGTTAAGGTCATTCTCTTCTGCTTCTTCTATGCTTGGATGTTATGATCTTGCTGTAGTAGAACCACTAGGTTCTGGTGGTGCCATATTGCTCTTTATGCTGTTGAATGTGTTCTTATACTGGCATCTACCCATCTCTTCCTCCAATCAGTACAAGTGGTATCTGTATCTCAAGGAGCTGCTCTTGGTCCAATAGGCACTTATGGTATGTGAGTCTCAAGGAACAGCTAAGGTCTCTGGGGGATGGGTGGATTTGGGCACAGATTGGAACTTGTGGATTGCAGGGTTCAATGAGGGGGTGGTGATGAGAAGACCTGCCCACAGGAGTCTTGCCTCCTGGCCTGCAACTGTGGCTGCAATGAGTTCGGGTATGTGGGAATGGGTTGTGCCCCTGGGCCTAAGGCCTAGAGGCTGGGATGTCTGGCTGGGAGAGCAGTGACTCACCTCTTAGTCCAATTGAATCTGGCAGAGTCTATGTCTCAGGGAGCAGCTGCAGTTTTGGTGGGATGGGTAGGTATGGGGCACAGAGTGGGAATTGTAGATTACAGGTTCTAAAGGGAGGTGATGGTAGTCAGGCCTGCCTGCAGGAGTCTTGCCTGCTGGCATGCAACTGGGGCTGCACTGAGTAGGGGTATGGGGACACAGGTTGTGCCCCTTGGCCTAAGGTCTAAAGCCTGAGGTGGCTGTCTAGGAAAACAGTGACTCACCTCTTGGTCCAATTGGAGATAGCAGAGTCTGTCCATTCTTTTGTTCTTATGTTTGGTTGTTTTTATTTCCATATGAATCTGAAAGTTATTTTGATGCTGTTGTGGTTGTTTTTTCAATTTTTTTTTTTGACAAATTTTGTTTTTCTCTTTCAGTTTGGGCTGAAAAATGTCCTCACCCAGAGGTAAATGCCTTTTAATATTTATATCGAATAATTACATATTGATTGAAGTCCAAAACATTGATTAAATATCTCATTTCAAAATCCATTCAGCTGGGGCATTATTCTCATCGAATTTCCAAACCAGAGTCTGAAACACAGCAATCTCAAACAGGTAAATTTTGTAAGTCACATTTTCCTGATCAATGTATTTTAATATATTTCAAAAGCACACAGTCTTCCCAATGACAATTATATCTTGATGATAGTGATGATAGAATTTGACATAAGCAATACCATCTCACTAGTGGCATACATGCTTGAAAAATATTACACTGACAATATAAAACATTTACAAATATAAGCTCAGGTTCAAATGTTTAATACTCGTGATCTAAGACTTTATCTCGGGCGGTGGTGGCGCACGCCTTTAATCCCAGCACTCGGGAGGCAGAGCCAGGCGGATCTCTGTGAGTTCGAGGCCAGCCTGGTCTCCAAAGCGAGTTCCAGGAAAGGCGCAAAACTACACAAAGAAACCCTGTCTCGAAAAACCAAAAAAAAAAAAAAAAAGACTTTATCTCTTCCAGTGTGCAGTCTCTCTGTTTATTAGTAACTTATAAAAGTCAATCATGAGACTAATGACACTTCCCCAATATTTGGCCATGATTTCTTGATACCTAGATCTCAGAATGAATACTTAGACTCAAAGATACCAGAAATAACAAGGCAAAAACTTATTTGAACTCAGAGATTCTGTTCTGGAATGGTCAAACAGTAATATACCACATCTTCAGAAGGAAACCAATTTTTGTGTTGTTCTAGAACTCATAATGTACAATCTTACCTTCATCTGTAGTGCACTGTCACATAGTAACAAGGAATAGGAAATGCATTTATATTTCATATCTATATTTCAATAACACAGTGCACACTATCATATGGTATAGTGGTTATTTAAAATCCTATAACTTATAAACATATCTTGCCATAAAGAAGCTTTCAGCTTCATGCAGTCCCATTTATTAAATGTGGATCTTAGTGCCTGTGCTACAGGTGTCCTATTCAGAAAATCTTTTCTTGTAACAGTCAGTTCACATTGTCTTCCTTCATATTTTGTGTTTCTGGTGTCATTTTGAGATCCTTGATTCACTTGGAGTTGAGTTTTGTTCAGGGTGAGAAATATAGGTCAATGTGTATTCTTCTTCTTGAAGCCATGAAGTTTGGTGAGTACCATGTATTGAAACTGTATTTTTCCCAGTGTGTATTTCTAGTTTCTTTATCAAAACATAGGTGTATGGGCTTAGGTTTGGTGTTCAGTTTGATTTCATTGGTCAACATGTATATTGTGATGCTAGAATCATGATGTTCTCATTACTCTACACCTGAAAAAGTCATGAAATCTGGGATGGTGGTTTCTCCAACTTTTTTTATTGGGATTTGTTTCACCTCCCTCGAGGGTTTTTTCTTTTTCTTTGTTTTTATTTCTATATGGAGATGAAAAGCCTTTTCATGCTGTTGTGGTTATTTTTTCAATTTCAATGACTAATTATGTTGGAATTTTGATGGGGATTACATTGAATCTATAGATTACTTTTGGAATGCTTCAGTTTACTTCTGTCAGCTGCTGTTCTAACCAGTAAACTAATAGGTGTTTATCTAGAAAGAAAGCCATCCAAAGTCTACATAAAGTTACTTTTGTGGTGCTCATTGTACAGGAGATTGGTAATTTATCCTTTCTCTTTTAGTTTGGGCTGAAAAATGTCCTCACCCAGAGGTAAATGACTTTTAATATTTTTACTGAATAGTTAATTACATGTTGCTTGAATTCCAAAACACTGATTAAATATCTCATTTCAAAATTCATTCAGCTGAGGCATTATTCACATCTAATCTCCAAACTGGAGTCACAACCAGGTAAATTGCGTAAGTCACATTCTTCTGATCAATGCATTTTACTACATTTCAAGTGCATGCAGACTTCCTTATGTCCATTATATCTTGATGATAGTGATGATAGGGTTTGACATAAGCAGTGCCTCTCACCTGTGGCATACATGCTTGAAAAACATTCACAAGGACAATATGAATTATTAGTAAATGTAAGCACAGCTTCAATGTTTAATACTCAAGTTCAATCACCTTAACCTTTCCAATGTGCAATCCCTTTGTTTTAGTGACTTCTAGAAGTCAATTATGAAACTAATGTGACTTCCCCAAAATTTTAACATCATTTCTGGACACCTGGGTCTCAGAATGCACACTTACAGTAAAGCTCCCTGAAATTGTACCAGTAAAGAAACCATGTCTGGTATGGTTTACTTACTTCCAAAACCTAAAGCCAAAAACTATCAGAATCACACAAAGTAATTAAAAGAAAACAGGAAACAAAAGTAAATGAGATCTTTTGGCCTAAGAATGACCCTATATATAGATCCTACATGTCAAGGAGAAAAACTGATACAACTGTAACAAAGTGGGTTCAAGTTGAAGTGGCAAAGAAGAGTTTAAGCATTATCTTGACCTAGGGTAGCCACAATGACAGCAACAACAATTTTTCTTGGGAAAAAAAGGATGTACAGTACAGAATGACTCCATGTGATAGAATGAGTCATAAAAGAACAATTTGTTAGTGCAGAGCATAAGTATGTTAATCTGTTCACAGAAAATGGGTGGTAAACCAAGTACAATTTTGGTGAAGTAAACAGTGAGTTATTTAAAGTTACTCTTGGAAGTCAAGGATAGTTTACAGAATGAATGTGTTATTTTCCCACATTTTCTTCACATGTGGATGTAAGCATATATGTCATTTATGAGTTTCCTGACAAATCATATAAAGCATGTATGACTCAAAACTGGCCAATATGTAGTACCTGTCCAAGTGTTGATTTGTCTACAATTACAAGTTTTCTTGAGGATGTAAATATACAGCTATACCATGTGGTTAATTGAAATAACATATAAAAAATAAAACCCTAACTTTCCATTATTTCTATTTCTATAGAATATTATTTTGCCTAATTGTTTTTCATTTTTTATTTAAAGATACACATTTTTCAGAAGAACTAGAAGAAGAAATAATAGAATCTAAACTGGAAAATGAGAGAAGTTTTGAAAAGATTGCAGATAATCAAGAATTTGTACGTAAAATTTAAATTTAAATTTCTCATTTTCTATTGTTTGCTTCAATGACTTTGCCATAGGCTGACATGCTACATTTTAAACCACCTTATTCTGTCAAAAAATTAATAATTGAATATTAAAATGAAAGCATTTAATCTATTCTTAATTACAGAGTATTCTTAGAATCCATGACATCACTAAATATTTCCTTTTTATGTATACTAAGTCAGTGTCTGAAAATTTTGTAATTGCTCCATTTTTAATGTATTTACATACCTGGGTAAAGATAAGATTCAATGTGAATGCCATGGATCAGCCTTTGAAGTAACAATGCATCCTGTATATTCTACATACCCTCTCTCATGTCTACAATGTGTAAAGACTTTTAACCATTCTCTCATGCTGCCCTGTCAATCATTTTATGGTGTCATTTGCTCTACAGAAGAATTTTAGTTTCATGGTGTACCATTTATTAATTTGGTAAGTACTTGTTCATAGTGTTTGTACCAGTGACCTGCTCAGAAAGTATTTAGCTGTGCCAAAGAATTAATCATTAATATGTACCATTTAGGCTTTATGTTGAGATACCTGGATCATTGGAAGTTGAACTTTGTGCAGAGTGAGAGATAAGGATTTAATTTCACTCATCCACCCCTATCTGTCCAATATGACTGGCACCATTTGTTTCCTACAATGTGAACTGTTGGACTCTTTTACAAAAATCAAGAGACTGGAGGACTACGGCTTATATGTGGGTCATCAGTTTCCTGCCACCCATTCAAGATGTTTGTTTGGGGGCCACTGCCATGCTCTATTTATTATTACAAGTGGGTATTTAAATCTGGAATGGGGATGCTTCCATCAGTTTTAGGGTTTTTTTGTTTGTTTGTTTTGCTTTGTTTTTGTTTTGTGGTTCAAAAGTGATTTAGCTCTTTTTGGTCTTTTGTGTTTCCATCTGGAATTTAAAACTTCTTTTTCATTTTCTATGAACATTGCACTGAAAATTTTATGAGAATCATGTGGTGTACATAGATCACTTTTGTTAGGATGACCAGTTTCACAATATTAACCCTACAATAATGATCACAGAAGTTCTTTGTGAGTTATGGTAACATCTTCAGTTTCTTATTTTTGCTGTCTTACAGCTTTCGTTGTAAAAGATTCACTTTTTTGATGAAATTTATTCTGATTCATTACACTGAGGATATTTTAAATGGCATGCTGTTCATGATTTCATTCTCAGTATGTGTATGTAGTGTTTCTTTTTAGGTAGGCTACTGACTTGGAGGCTCAGATTAAAACCTGTTACATTGCTGAACGAATTTATCAGCCATTGAAGTTTCATGAGCAAAATATATCTTTTATAGAATCATATTACTTACAAATGAAAATATTTTCACCTCTTCATTCCTTTCTTTCGTCTTCTTACTCTTCTAATTAAGACTTCTGGTACTATATTGAACAGAAGGAGGAAGAGTGGTCATCCTTGTCAGGTTCCTGATTTTAGAAGGAATGATTTGAGTGTCAACGATATGTTAGCTGTGTGTTTGCATTTTATTGCTTTTATTATGCTGAAATATGCCCTCTTTCATTCTCTAGACTCTCTGGGATTCTTATTATAAAGTAACGATGGATATTGTCAAAGATCCTTTCTGTGTCTAATGACATAATTGTGTGGTATTTGTCCTTGAATCTGTTTCTGTAATGGATGCTGTGAAAGTGCTATCCTATAAATTGAATTCATTAGAAAAGTTTTTCCTATTTTATTGATTTATGATCTCAGTTTATTTTCTGCAGTCTACGCCTCTTGGGCGTGTTTGTTTCAGAGCTTTCAGGTGTTTTTTTAAGTCTCTAGAATGAGATCTCTCAAAATTCTTTATGAAGGCACTTGGTGCTGTGAACTTTCCTTTTAACGTCACTTTCAATGTGTCCCATTCATGTGGGTATATTGTCCATTCATTTTTATTGAATTTGAGGAAGTCTTTAATTTCTTTCTTATCTCTGCCTTGACCCAGTGGTAATTCACTAGAGAGTTGTTCCATGAATTTGTAGGCTTTCTGTTGTTGTTGAAATCCATCTTTAATCCATGGTAGTCTGATAGGATGCAGGGGTGTGTTTCAATTTATTTGTATCTTATAAGACTTGCTTTGTGACCTAATATGTTGTCAATTTTGAGAGTGTTCCATGAGGTATTGAGAAGTGTCTTCTTTTGTGTTGGGATGAAATGATCTCAGGAGCTCTCTTGGGTCCATGTATGTCAGAATGTCTGTTAGCTCCAATATTTCACAATGGAATGGAATAAATGACTCATTTGTAAAACCACAAAACTATGGACATTGAATTTCAACCAAGAAGCCAAAATAATACAATGGAAAAAGAAAACATCTTCAACAAATGGTGCTGCTCTTATTGGATGTTGACATGTAGAAGAATTCAAATAGATCCTTATGTATCATCCTGCACAAAACTCAAGTTCAAGTGGATCAAAGACCTCAACATAAATCTAGATACACTGAACCTGATAGAAGAGAAAGTGGGACATTGTCTTGAATCTAATAGCACATGAGACAACTTTCTGAATCGAATATCAACAGAGCAGACACAAAGGTCAATAATTAACAAATGGAACCTCACGAACCTGAAAATCTTTGATAAGGCAAAGGCCACCAATAATGGGACAAAATACAAGCCTACAGAACAGGATGAGATCTTCACCAATCTCATTTCTAACAGAGAGAATATTTTCAAAATATATAAACTCTCAGGAAACTAGACATCAAAAAACCAAATAACTCAACTAAAAATGGGATACAGATCTAATCAGAGAATTCTCCAGAGAAGAATCTCAAATGGCCAGGAAACAGTTACTATGAGAACCCATCTTATACCTATCAAGATGGCTAAGATCTAAAACAAAAGTGACAGCTCATTATGGAGAGGATGTGGAGCAAGAGGAACACTTCTCTCTTGCTGGTGGAGGTGCAAACTTGTACAACCACTTGGATATTACTATTGAGATTTCTCAGAAATTTGAGAATCCCTCTACCTCAAGAAATTTGAGAATCCCTCTACCTCAAGACTCAGCTATAACACTCTTGGGCATATACCAAAGCATGCTTATTCATACCACAAGGGCTCTTACACAATTGTGATCAGAGCTACTTTTTTCATAATAGGCCAGAACTCAATACAAACTAGATGTCCACCAACACAAGAAAGGATATAGAATATGTGATACACTTAAATAATGGAGTATTACTCATCTGTTAAAAATCTGACATTCTTAAATTGGCATGCCTTGTTGATATGTGATGTTTTGTTGATACTCATGGAAAATCTGCCTTTTCCTAAACAAAAGGGAAAAGGAGTTGATTGGGAGTGGGAACAGAAAGTAGATGGGGGTGAGGGACTAGGAAGTGAGGAGGGGGCAGAAACTGTGGTTAAGATGTAAAATAAATAAATGAATGAATTAAAGAATCAAAAACAAACAAACAAACAAAAATCAAAACCAAAAAAGAAAAAGGAAAGAAATTTTCAGGCAAATGTGTGGAACTGGAAAAAATCATCCCAAGTGTGGTACCCAGAACCAGAATACAAACATGTTTGGGCCTGAGCAAAATTGTCATGAGACAGGCTTCACCCAACAACTGATGGAAACAGATGCAGAGACCTGCAGCCAAACATCAGGCCTAGCTTGGGGGAATCCTGCTGAAGAAAGGGAGGAAGGATTATAGGAGTCAGAGAGGTCAAGAACATTACAAGAAAACCCACAGAGTCAATTAACTCATAGAAGCTCACCGAGACTGAAATGACATCCAGAGAGCCTGCATGGGACTGACCTAGGCCCTCTGCACATATGTGGCAGTTGGGTAGCTCTTTCTTCTTGTAGGACTCTCAAAAGTGAAAGCAGAAGTTTTCTCTAGTTGTTTTGCTGGATTCAGGGATCTGTTCTTCATACTTGGGTACCTTGCCCAGCCTCAAAACAAGCAGATGTGCTTAGTCTTACCGGAACTTGTTAGGCCTTGTTTTGTGGTTATCCATGGGAAGCCTGCCATTTTATGAATAGAAACTGAGTAGTGCATGGTTGGGGGTAGGGTGGGGAATGACACAGGAAGTAGAGGTGGGATGGAAAGCTGTGGTTGGGATGTGAAATAAATAAATAAATTTTAAATAGAACCAAAAAGTTGTAATACACATATAGTGAATATTTGTTATATGCTGTGATATTAAGTCCTGGATATTACAGATCAGGAGAACAACCAACAGCCTTCACAATAGCCTTTGAAGAGCAATTTAAAAAATGCACAATAAGGTGGTGGCGCACGCCTTTAATCCCAGCACTCGGGAGGCAGAGCCAGGTGGATCTCTGTGAGTTCGAGGCCAGCCTGGGCTACCAAGTGAGTTCCAGGAGAGGCACAAAGCTACATAGAGAAACCCTGTCTCAAAAAAACAAAAAAAAATGCACAATAAAGTAACTTTCAAAGTGAAAATAGACACACATCCAAAAGATGACCCACCAACGACCAACTTGTTTTTATCTCAGAGATGCAGAGATGGTTTGAAATACACAACTCAATAGATTTATCAAAGCATAGAAATGGACTTTGAGACAAGTCACCTAATCTTCTCAATACACACAGATAAGGCCCTTGCCATAATCCAATATACCATCATGATAACAGCCCAGAGAGTGTAAGACAAGAAGGAGCATACCTCAACACAATAAAAATTATGTAATGAGAAAATCAAAGCCAACATCATCCTCAATGGATGAAAACATGAGTCCCTTTGAGGTCATGAAGAGACAGGATTGTCTACCATCCTGAATCCTTTTCAATATTGTGCTCAAGGTATTAGCTGGAGCAATAAATCAGAAGAACAAAATTAAAGGGAGACAAATGGGAAAATAGAAATCAATACTGTTTGTATTAGTTAGGGTTGCTGGGAAGAGATACCATGACCATGGCTACTCTTATTAGGGAAACATTTAATTGGGGTGGATTCCTGTTTCAGAAGTTTTGTCCATAATCATCATGGTGGGACATGGAAGCATGCAGACAGACATGGTTCTGGATAAGGAGCTCAGAATTCTACATCTTGATAAGCAAGCATTAAAAGAAGCCGTGTCAACTCTGGGTGTAACTTGAGCACGGGAGCCCTCAAATGGCCCCCACAGAGACAAACTTCCTGCAACAATGTCATACCTCCACCAACAAAGCCACTCCTTCTAATAGCGACACTTGCTGTAAGCTTATGGGGCCCAATAGTATTCAAAGTACCACACTGTTTAAAGAAATTGTCCTCACAATAGGTAGGTGCTTCTTTATTTTATAAATATCCTCCAAATTCATTTGGGAATATAAATTTGTATCAACAATTCTTATATAGAAGTAGTTACTTTTGTTTTTGTTAATATTGTGCATCAGGTTGTATCCTATGAATGTATCCATTCTTCTTTGTACCTCTTACATAGTGAGGTGCTATGAGAAATGAAGGATAGATTTAAACTTTAATGTGCACCATAGATTTGCTATTAAAATGTCTTTGTCTTCAATGTATAGTACATAGAATTTTAAGTACACTTGTCATAAAATTAGGAATTCAGGTATGTTCTTAGAAATCAAATAAGACCTTTCTAAATATGTTATTGAAACTCTTTTGATAGAGTATGTCTGACCCTAATGGACTGCAGGAATCTTCCACAGAAGCTCCCCATTCATCCAATATGGACAATGATGCAGGAAAAAATTTAATAAGGCATCTAGAGAGAAGTAAGTAGTACATTTTAAATTATGCTTGTTATATAGAATGATTGTGTATAGAACAGAACCCTATCTGTTATACACAGACATATATATATATATATATATATATATATATATATATATATATATAATCAAAAGGATTAGTAGAATGGTAATAAACACACACATTATCAAATCTGAGCAACAGGTAAGATATTGATAGTAAAAAATGAAGCCCTTGCTCCCACATCTCTCAGGTGTCCATTTTTAATTTGCTTTATCTTCAGCAATATATGAGATAAATCTGAATGTGTAAGTGAAGGGGACTCCCATATAGTAGAGGCTGCTTCTAAGAACTCTGTTTAGGCAAAAAGCACACTTAAACACCTGTTTCAGAGGGAGATTTCTTATTAAGCAGGGAAGATGGGTTAAATATTTCCACTGCAGTTTATACTTAATTCAAACTATTGTTTGGGAAAATAAAAATAAATATTTTCTCATCCCTAATGTATATTCATTATAGCAATGGATAGCTTTTCCCCTAAATGTTCATTGCACTTTACTTAGTGGAGTATGTGCCCTTCTTAACAGAATCTGTCATGGAAGATCAAAAGCATGCCTCAGAAGAAGAGCAGAGGCAGCACAGTGGTAGAAAAACTAAGTGGCCATTTGTAAGTAAATACTTAAATTTACTTTTCATAATTTATGCTGTTTCCACAGTAATGTTTCATAGGACAAATAAGGTTAAATTTAGTATGTCTTTTAGAATTAATACATTGAAAGCAAATGTTTTTTAAAATATTATTGTTATTTTTTTCTTAGAAACTTACATTCACCACTGACTCCCTCCACCTCATGCTGGTGGTACTTATCATTCTTCTTTGCTAATGTCTCTTAAAATTATTATTAATAGCCCACTGGGTTCAAGTAGGACTGACCATCCGTGAATGTGTGTGAAGACACCTACTGGGACATGAGCAATCTGCCAGAAGCCACAAGCCCACAGATAAATTAGTCTCCTTTTACAACCACCCATTGCCAGTTGCTCCTCAGCTAGTGCTAAGGCCTTGAGAGATGCTTCCTCATTCATGCTGGCATCTTGACTGGCTTCATCTTGTGCAAGTCTAGTGTAAGACACAGCTGTTTTGAGTTGATGTGCATCAGTTATGCCATGTCCCAAAAAGAACATTTCAATGTACTTCTCTCCAGATTCAATCTCTTACATTGTTTGCTGACCATTCTTCCTCATTGTTTTTTGAGCTTTCAGTAGTGGGAGGCTAATACAAATGACCCATCTGCAGATGAGCCTTTACACTGGATTATTCTTATCATGTTAACTAGTTATAAGTCTCTACATTAATCATTACACTCTGCAAAAAAATCATTTGACCAACAAGAGAGTAGAACAAACCTATGGGTATAAACGTAAATAATAATAGCACTAGTTGATTCTCCTTGACTAGCCTTATCACAAACATAAGCTTTTGACAAGATTTACAGCATCGGGCATTTAATCTATTGCTTGGAGCAGCTCTCACATCCATTCATAACAAGGTTGATTATTTACATAAACACCATGCAACCATTGTGGACAGTTTGCCTGGCTGGTCAATGTTATCATATGAGAGGTCCAAGATTGGACAGACTCTGGATGTATTTCATGACCAGTGGCCTGAACTACAACTTTTATTGTTATGAAAAGCAGAGATTCCTTGTCTGTTAGGGATTGAGTTCTAAATGCCCTGTATCTAGACTGTGTGATATCTTCAACAAGGGAGTCTTACCAATTAGTTATGACAAACAACCAGAATTGTAACAATAGATTGTGTTATTTGGGGTGGCATGGAGGCCTACTTGACCAATAACTCATAAGCAGGTATCCTGTCCCTGGTTTTGAGTCTCAGTATAAATCTCCTATCTTCTTAAGGAAGTCAACACATTCCAGGTACCTCTGAACAAACCATGTTAACCATGTTTTACCTCACCTCAAATTATATTTTACTTAATTTGCAATATCATAGTTTCTATAAAGCTTTTTCATAGCCCTTCATTTTTAATAGTCATACATCTAATACATCTCTCCTTTATCCTCCAATCCTTCCATGATTGAAACTGTCAACATCCAATATTCTCCTTCTCTGATTTAATTTTACATATATTTTACTATCTCCCTTTCAATGGGTCCATCTACAATAGACCATATTTAATTTCTAGACATCCTCATGTAATCCTACTTGAACATACAAGAGTCTAGTATCTACACATGAGGACAGCATATCACATTTGCTTTTCTAATCCTAGCTGGCCTCATTGAGTAAAACTTCTTCTAGTTCTATTAATTTACTTAAAATTTTTGCTATTTCATTTTCTTTACATTGAGTAATATTCCATTGTGTGTATATACCACATTTTCCTTACCCATACATCTACTGATGTCTATTGGGGTTGATTTTAAATCCTATGGCTTGTGAGTGGGATTCTGTCCTTGATTTTTTTATTCAGTTTGTCATCCCTGATTTTGGTGTTAAATTTGTGAAATGCTAATTTGCTATAGTGTTTATCAGCTGTAAGACATTTTGTGGAGCCCTAACCCTTTTTACAGATGATAAAATCCTACCATCTTTAAGTAGAGGCATTCTGAGTTCCTCTTACACTTTGTATGCTTTAATATCCTTTTTATTTTATTTTACAATACAATTCAGTTCTACATATCAGCCACGGATTCCCTTGTTATCCTCCCTCCCGCCTTCCTGCCCTTTTCCCCAGCCTACCCCCCATTTCCACCTCTTCCAAGGCAAAGCCTCCCCTGAGAGCTGAGATCAACCTGGTAGACTCAGTCCAGGCAGGTCCAGTCCCCTCCTCCCAGGCCAAGCCAAGTGACCCTGCATAACCCTCAGATTTCAAACAGCCAACTCATGCAATGAGCACAGGACCCATTACCACTGCCTGGATGCCTCCCAAACAGATCAAGCCAATCAACTGTCTCACCCATTCAGAGGGCCTGATCCAGTTGGGGGCCCCTGAGCAATTGGTTCATAGTTCATGTGTTTCCATTCGTTTGGCTATTTGTCCCTGTGCTTTATCCAACCTTGGTCTCAACAATTCTCACTCATATAAACCCTCCTCTTTCTCTCTAATTGGTCTCCCAGAGCTCCACTCAGGGCCTAGCTGTGGATCTCTGCATTGAGATCTCTCAGTCATTGGATGGGGTTTCTACCATGACAGTTAGGGTGTTTGGACACCCCATCACCAGAGTAGGTCAGTTCAGGCTGTCTCTCGGCCATTGCCAGCAGTCTATTGTGGGAGTATCTTTATGGATTTCTGTGGGCCTCTCTAGCACTTTACTTCTTCCTATTCTCATGTGGTCTTCATTTACCATGGTCTCCTATTCCTTGTTCTCCCTCTCTGTTCTTGATACAGCTGGGATCTCCTGCTCCCCCAAGCTCTCATTCCCTCCACCCTCACCCTTCATTACCCCCACTCATGTCCAGGCTGTTCATTTAGATCTCATCCATTTCTCCATCATTGGGCAATCCCCGTTGTCTTTCTTAGGGTCCTGTTTTCTTTTTTTTCTTTTTTATTTATTTTACAATACTATTCAGTTCTACATAATAGCCACAGATTCCCTTGCTCTCACCCTTCCTGCCCCCCTCCCCTTCCCCCGCACACCCCCCATTCCCACCTCCTCCAGATCAAGGTCTCCCCTGAGGACTGGGATTGACCTGATAGACTCAGTCCAGGCAGGTCGAGTCCCCTCCTCCCAG